AGAAATCTCTAACTCTAGAATTTGAAAAATCAATTTAAGGCCATAATTATTCAAAAGGATGAACATCAAATAAAAGATGTTTTTAATTATCCCATCTTCCAAAACATAAATCTAAACCACCCATAAATCCAATTTTTTAATCTATAACAACCATTTTTTCATGATGAGAAAATAATTTTGGTATTGCTTGAGATGGATGTTTTAATACCCTAATATTTGGAGACATACTTTCTAATTACATTTTTGAATGTTTTGGATCATTATATAAAAATGATAGTAAAGCATTGTACAATAATACTAAAACTTTAACTCCTTTATCAGCTGCTAATTTCAATACATTATCAAGTCTAGTATAAAGAAATTCACTCGATTAAGCATATTTCCTAACATCAACAGGTCTCTTTAAATACATTTCTGGACTCAACCACCAATCAGTAATATATATAGTTTCTTTAGCTTACAAGATTGCATCACAAACATCTTCAAAATATTAATCCCCATCAATATACCATTTACAATCTGAAGTTCTTATTGGAGAAAATGATCCAAATCTATGCCACTTTGTATATGGACTTTCCTTTAACGATTTAAAAAGTGCATACTTAAAGTCGATATAGGCTGTCAAATTTTCAGCTTTCAAGACTAATTTTCTCTATGAAAAGGATATTATTATTTTATTATGATCACCTGTCTCTTTTTTGCCAGACAAAAATCTGAAATCAGAATCAAAACTTAGACATTCTCGAATTTAACATTTATCTTTTTCAGGACCTTCTAAGTAGAGAAGGGATTATTAAGTTATTATAAAATATCTCTTTTTCCACTTGACAAGTTTTTGTTTTAATCCCTAAAATCTTTATGTTGGTCTACCACCAGATTTCTTTTCCATAAAGCCTTCTTTCATTTTGAATGGTAAATTGATACAAGAAATCTCTAAAAATGTTAATGCACATTATGGTATAATTTCATTGCTTGTTATCATCTTTAAGAATTTATGAAGTAGAAGTAATGCTTTTTTTGGATCTTCTTTATCTAAATCTCCTGTTATCTTATTTTTTTAGAAAATTTTGTAAAATATATTATTTGCCATATCCTTTTCTAATTGTTAAAATTATCCTATTGTTCTTCTTATTTCCCAACTCTAGCCATCATAGATTACTTTGAATAAAAATACTCTTTCATTCAAATGATTTGAGTATTTTTTTTCAAATTTCTGATCAAATACTTGATTATTTAATGATCCAATCAACTCTTTCATAGTAGTTTGACTAATGGGTTAAACATCTATTTTATTATATTAAATATCCCTTAATCTCTATTAAGTTAAAGAATTTGCCATCTACTTCATTTTATTATTTTTAATTAAATTTATTGTACAAAATTTCAACCATTTCAATCTAGTTTTAGGATTGCTAATTAAGAAAAAATGGCTAAATATTCGTATTCAGGACCTTAATTATTAATTAAATTAGCTATTTTAAAATTTAGATCAAGATTATTTTCAATATGACATAGTTCTTTTTTTAGAAAATCAAGCTAATAAAGAAATATGATGAGTCTAATAAACAGACTAAGCAAAAAGAAAGACATTTTTATTGAATTAAGCAATTTTAAATGTCAATAAATGGTTTAAAAACGTTAATAAATCCTAATTTAAAGAGAAATCTACATCTTTATTTAAAAATTTCTTGTTTTTTAACCTTTTTGAACTTATTATTAATAAACTTTATATTATTAAGTATACTTAATTATTGATTTGTTCTTTCTGATTAATTGTAAAGCCTAAATTAGTGATAATATACTATATTTTAAGGAAGAAATTTATTTTAAGTTAGAAAATATGAATAATATTTTAAATAATAAAACATAATGAATTCTAATATATAGAAAGTAGGTGAGGCCAGGTGTATGGTTTTCTTCCTTATATTTCTACTTAAATTATCATTTAATAAGGTATTAATATATTACAAAGTGTTTATGAGTTAAAATAATAATTCATAGAGAGGAATTAAATATTTGTGGCATTCTCTTGACTGGGAATTTGAGAATATGTAGAGTTTTTAATGGAAAAAATGACTTCTTTTCATAAGTGGATGATGTATAATATGAAGATTTCAAATTTAATTATGATTATCAAAAGTTTTACTTATAAAAAAAATTAGTTAAGAATTATAAAATGTTTTAATCTATTTGCTATTGAGAGAAATTGAAGAAAGAAACTCATCATAATAGATTCTGCATCTAATTAAGCATATATCAATATCACTAACACTCAAAATATAATTCTAAGATTTATCCAATCATATTATAAATACATAGAAATTAGTATTATTAGTAAGTTAAAAACTAAGATCTAAATACAATATGGATGTATATGAGGAGATCAGTTTAATGGTAAAAAGAATGGCTATTTAAAACTAAATTCTTATGTTGGTGGATATGAAGGAAAAGTTTTAGGTTTTGATCTATCTTGAAAGGGATTATTTTTAATAGATAGGAGGAGAATTTATAAAGAATCACTTTAAGATGGGAAATATAATAATTTCTGATATTTAATCAATTCAAATACAAATTTTACTCAAAATTATAATTTTAGATATTAGGTATATTGGGAATTATTGGTCAGAATATGAAGATATTTCTAAATCTTATAAAATACAAGTTTAGGGGATGTTATATTTAACAAGTGAAGTAAAGTTGACAGAAGAGTTTGTAGATGATGTTCTAAGATGACTTGCCTCAATTTTTGGAATGTTTGGTAAAGTAACAAGAAAATGGGTTAAAGGCATTTTATTTGAATGAGTTAGTGATGTTTATTTTTTTACAGGATTTTTAGATCTTAAAAGATCAATTAAATAATACATTATTTATTATATTATGGAACATAGATAACTATTAGAAACTCTAGTTGTCGATTTATTAAATAGTCCAGTCAACCCATTAATTTAAGTACACTTTCAAAATATGTTAGTATCGAGACTTTCAAATTTAACACATTTGTAAATAAATTGGAGTTAATGAATATGGAGGTTAAAGAGATGCAATTTTTTTTAAGCATTTTGCTTCCCATTTTATTTCGTATTTAAATGAAAAAAATGAAATCTCATCTATCATTTAATAAGCTCAAATTTCTAGAAATTAGTCTAAAACATAGGAACTATAAGAAAATAAATAAATTACATTACCTCAAAAACTATAGTAAATTGCAAGTCCCATTAGTTAAAAACCAAAAAATGATATGGTTTAAATAATTGATGATGAAATAGCAGACTCAAATAAGCGAAAAATTGATTTGGAGGCATTTCTTCAAAAATCCTATTTATCTGTGCCAAATTTTATTGGGGTTAATTTAGACATAAATAATAATCAATTTAATAAATCAAATGATAACTCTAAACATATATCTACAAAAACAGCATAAAATAAATAGGATACTAAATCTAAAGATTTAAAACTTATTCCTGATCTTATTGTCAAAAAGAAAAGCGAGAAAACTCCTCATAAAAATGACAATAATAACAAAACACATACATTTTTTGAATCTATTGAATATAAAGATACTTAATTAAATAGATCTCTTTAATCTAAAACAGAACTTTAAAATAATTGCAAAAAGAAAAAGCTGTCCCCATCTTTAGATTAAATTAAAAAAAAAGATAATAAATCACTTAAACAAGATTCTTAATCTGAATCGCTTGAGTTAAGAACATCAGAAGATTTATCATTGAGAGAAGATAGTATTAAAAAGAAGGAGAATATTAAATTATTAAATAAATAGGAGAAGAAATTAAGTAAAGACTTAGAAAATTTTAATAAAAAAGACAAATTATTGAAAATTGAAAAAAAAAAAAATTTAGAAATTGATATAAAATAATAAATAGAAAAATCAACTAAATAGATTGTTCCAATGATTGAAAAAAAGGAAAGAAAGAAAAAAGAAAGATTAGAAAGTGATAAATTAAAAAAAGAGAAAAAAGATTTAGAAAGATTATAATAATTAAAAGAAAAAAATTAAATATTAGAAAGATTAGAAAAAGAAAAATAAAATAAAGAGAAATAAGAAAAGGAAAGATTGGAGAAAGAAAGGTTAGATAAATTTGAAAAAGAAAGAGCAGAAAGATTAGAAAAAGAAAGATAAGATAGAATTGAACTTTTAGAAAAATAAAAATAAGAAAGGGAAAAATAGGATAGATTAGAAAAAGAGAGATAAGAGAGATTAGAAAGAAGTGATAAACATCGATAAAAAGAAACTTAAGAATTAGAATCAATTATTGAAAAACTATTGTGTACTAATCCAAATGAAACATCTAAAGTTAAAAAAAATTAAGAATAAGTAATTATTTTAGATAGCAATGATAAAGTTACAAAAAAATTAGAAAAAGAATAATCAAAATTAGAAAAACCTTAATGTAATTATTGTTAAAGTATGGATACAAAAACTATTGAAATCTAAGATGGAGTAAGAATATGTACATAATGTTTGTTAGTATCCATTAATCCATTCTAAAAAATCATAACAAAATTAGCTTATACTGAATACAGATGCTCAGGTAAAGAAAATGCAAAAACAAGTCAAACCTTTACTATTGACACTTCTACTAATTGCAATCTTGAGATAAGATGTGTTGCTTTGAATAAATAAGGATTATATGATTTGACATTTCCAATGTCTTGTACTCTCTTAATAAATGGAGCCACTATAAAAGAGATCAGACCATTGTAAGAAAAATCAAGCTTAAAAAAAAGGAGAGATACTTCAATTTACATCAATATCAAAGATTTAATAAGATAAAATAACTTTTCTAAGAAATTTGTATTTTCAATAATAGAACATTTGGCAGATTAATAATATCGTAAAGATACTATTGGTTCAATCTATTGTTTCGGTTTGTTTTTGGTAGAACCATTGAATGTAATACAAACAATTGATAAATTTAAATAATTAGATATTTAACCAAAGATTAAATCTGATTAAAATAAAAAAGAAATATAGGTTGCTAAAACAATTATTAGTCTCTATTGTTAATTTACTTTAGAATTAATTCAAATTCCAGCAAAGTAAATCAATATTATATATAATTTTAGAGGTGAATTTTGTCAACATGAATAATGTTTTTGTCTATGCAGTTTCCTTGAGATGATGATTAAAGTGGAACATAAAAAATGGATATGTCCAATATGCAAAAAAGTATGTTTTCATTTGGTTATTGACAAATATCAATTATTTATTATTGAAAGAATCAAAAAATTAGAAATTTCAATTGATCAACTAGCATTAGATCATACTGTATTATAATCAAACTAATATAGGGTTAATTGGATAAAGATTAATAAATCAATTTAATATTATAAGATGAAACAATAAAAACATATTAAGATATAATTGATAAAGGATATTAGAATATTAATAGGATTAACAAAAATGAAGATGAAGATGATATTCCTATTGTAACTAATGCTGGAAAGAGTTAAAATTTAGCTATAATATTAATTGATGATTGAGCATTAATTCTTTTTTAAATTTATATAGATATTTCAAGTTATTTTAAATTCATATAAATAATATACTCTACTTATCCTACTCCTTAATAATTAATTGTTGATATTCTTAATATTAATTATTATATAGATATAATTTCTAAATATGATTATTATTTTATAAATATTATTAAATTTATATTTTGAAAATAAAGAAAGGTAGGAATTTAAAAATTTGATGATTTAATTAGGATACATTTAGGTCATAATATTTTTAAATACTTATTCCTTAATGAAAAATATAATTACCTTTCCTTTATATTTTTACAAAAAGAAAATGTTATTTTTTTAGTGTTTTTGATTCAATTTTCTCTAGAGCATCAGAGTTAATATATCAAAAATTATAGTGAAAAATTTTATTGACCTTAGTTTGAGATACATAATATTAATTGTATTAATCTCAAACTTATGTAAAATGTTTTAAGTAGTTTTATTTTATTTTTAAGTGGATATTTAAATATCAAATATAAAAAAGTTATTTTTTTAGAAAATTTTACAAGATTATTAATATATAAATTCTTTACAAATTTATAAAATAGACCAATTTTATAAATCAATTTAAATTAATTTTCTTACATAGAAAAAGGATAAAGATCTAGAGTATTTAAGCATATCATCTAATTATTTAAAACTTAATTCTTGTGGATTTAAAAAAAATAATAAATATTATTTTCAAATTTGGGATATAACTTTAGTATTTTCAAGAAACATTTAGAATAATAAATATGTTGATAATAATAATATTTTACTTCATTTTTGAAGCTTGCCCATATTCCATTTTCCTTAAATTGACTGTCCATTCTTATATGAATATGTGCCAAAGCCATGAATTTATCCATCTTTAAATGCTCCTATATATTTATCACCATTGCTAAAAGAGAGAGTTCCAAAACCTTCTCTATTATCTCTTTTAAATGCTCCTTCGTATTTAAGCCAACATGTGATATTTGATAGATTATTATGATCTAATCCAGAAATCATTGGTATTTAATCTTAGTTGTATTCAATACCTTAACCATGATATTGATCATCTGTCCACTGACCATCATAAATAACTTTGCCTTGAGTATTATACAATACTCCTTTTCCACTCATTTTGTTATCCTTCCACATACCATCATAATAACTTCCATCATTATGAATAAATTTCCCTTTTCCATGTCTTAAACCATTTCTCTTCATTCCTAAATATCTGGATCCATTTGGATATCTTTCTTTTACATTTTCAACTATTATTTTTAGTCAAGAATAGAATACCTAGGTCTTTTTACTTAGTTGGCTCATTTCCAATTAGACCTAACACATCGTATTAATCATAAGTATTTGGTTCTCCTAATAATTCTTATCCACCACCTCCAATTAATTAAGATACATCTTATTATTAATATTGTTATTCCAATTGTTATTCCTAAGGTTGCTCTAAGATTATTTATACAGGAGTAATAGATTATTTGCATTTAGGATTTTTATCTAATCTTTCAAATAATTATTAGGCATTTGGTCTTTATGATACTTTAACAGTTAACATATCTTTGATGATGTAAAAAAAGAAATCATGACATTAAATTTTAATGGTTTGTAAATGAGATTATATTTTATCTTCAAATATGACACCTTAATCATAATCATAACAAATGGATGATAATTTTCCACTACATAGTTATAGAAATACCATTCCCAAAGAGTAGATGTCTGATTTAAACCAATCAACATTTGGTTCTTTATTTCCTTTATCTAATTCACTTACTAATTCAGGAGACAGATAAGATATTTTTGAATATTTGTGTTTATCACTATATAATCTTTGATAATCATTTTTATGATCAAATAAATGAGGATCTGCTATTTTATATTTATCTTATGTAATATAAATATTTCTCATTCTTAAAGCTTGATGAACAATTCCATTTTAATGTAAATAATTCAAACCATTTATACATTAATAAATTATTGGATAAAATTCATCTTATTAATATGGAATTTTATTTTCAATTCTTTATTGAAATTCTGATGCAAAATCTGTCAAAATATAATCAAATATCAAAAATGATTTATAAATTGATGTACAGAATCCTTCCTCTTATCTTGACATATATTCTTTTAATTAAACAATGTTATCATTTTATAATAATTTACGTTAGAGAAATTGTTAATTCTACTCTTCAAAATCTGATTAATATAAAAACTCTTAAACTTTTAATACTGCTAATATCTTAGTTTGTTTATTCTCTAATAGAACTACATCCCCATACCATTCATCCAAATAATGAGTTTTATGTTCATAATTTTGTAATGTTTATTAAATATCAGGGGTTGATTTATCAAGAATCAAACAAGGATTTGTATTACATGATAAACAATTACCAAATCCTTAACATGAACATATTGCACAACAACTTCTGAATTCATCTCTCATTGATGTACAACAAGGTCTCATACAAACATAACATTATTCACAACCTTCACAACAATATTATGCACAATCAGATAATCCCTTCCAACCTTATATAATATGATAATTTATAATTACAATGTTCACAAGTATTCCCCATACTGTTATAATTTAAATATATATATATATTTATTTGATAAATAAAATTATTATCCAATGCATAGAAAACTATCTAGTTTGTTATCATAGACTAGTTGTAAAAAGACTTAGATAATGTCTCCAAACTCTAACACTAGTATGGATATCACTTAACTTACTAATGTATCATAAAACTTATATTAATAGTTACATATGTAGATATTAAAAATGATAGAAAATAATAGTAAGGATACAGATATTATGAAAATTATGGATACAATCAAAATATTATCAAAAGGTTTAGAAAAAGCATCTTAAAGTGAATTGGAATTAGGTTATAAAGATCGTTAATTATAAAAAGCTTAATAATTATATAGTGAATTAGAATAGAAATTTTAAGTGTTAAAGACTAAATATGATGATTTAGAGGGTTAAAATAAAAATCTTAAAACCAAAATTGATGAATTAATGCATCAAAATTAATTAAATTATCATTAATATTAATTACAAACTAAGTTAAGTGGTGATTTAAATCATAAAGTAACTAATCTAGAATCAAGATTAGAAATAATATTAGAAAGTGATTTCCCTAATGAATCTGTTAATATAAGAAAAACATTAACTGATTTAGTGAAGGAATGTGAAAGATAAAAAAGAGAATTATAATTAAAGAATTAGGAAATCTCTAGATTAACTGAATAATATAAATCATCTCAATAAAGAATAAGTAAACTTAATTAAAAACTTGAATTGATGAAAAAAAAAATCTCAATAAGAGAATTAGAAAATTTGGCTTTGGATAGAGCTGAATGGATAGAATAAGATGATAAACAAAATGATCCTACTTAAATTTTGATTAGATATTAAGCTTGTGATAATTTAGATTTTAGAATTAATGCACTCAAATTAGAATTTGCTGATATCATGAATGATATTTAAGAATAAGGAACCACTGTATTTACTTAGAAGGTGATGTAATCAACTTAAAAATAAATTAAGGAATCCATTCAATTAGTAACTTCTTAATATCTATCTTTTAAAGATTTTTCAGAAAAACTTAATATGATGCTTAAATAGTTAATATCCTTATAATTGATAGAAACTCTATAAGAGTAGATGTAATTCATTGAATATAATTTTAAACATGTTTTTATGTGTTAAAATACAAGATTATGGATATTAGATGCACAAATGGGAATTCTTTATTCTAGTAATAATTAAAGAGTATTAATTAATAAAGGATCTTTTAGTGAAGTATTGCGATTTTAAAAACCTATACATAAAAGAGATTATAATCTTTTATGTGATAATACTAATCATGTTGCTATGTATACAAATCAAAGTCTTCTTTATCCAATTTTCAATTAAAATCAAATATTATCAGGTATTTTAGAAATAAGTAATTCTGTAAGTGATTATTTTTCTTTTGATGAAGAATATTATGGTGTAATATTAGCTAAGTTTTGTGAATAATTGATAAAAAATTAAATAAAAACAAGATTATTATCAGTCACATTAAAGTTTGATTCAATGGTTTAGAATGCCTTTAATGATTTTCTATTAAGTAAAACACAATTTGAATTATATAAATATATAAGACATTGGATGGAGACAATATTAACTGTATCAATGATAGCCTTTTACTTTGTTAAAAATGATTAATTTATTACTTACAAAACTATTGGAACTAGTTGGGATGGGATGACTCATAAGAATGCAATTACTCAAGGAAGAGTTTTAGATTAACCTATTAATTTAAATAAAAAAGGAATTGCAAAATAAGTATGTGATCGAAAGAAAGTAATTATAAATATAAAATTAAGGAATTAATAGTAATGAATATGAGAAAATCAATTGAATTTGATGAAACAATTGATTTAGATTCAATATTACCAGTTTTAATACATCCAATTATTTTTGATAATAAAGTAATTGCTGTATTTGAAGTTCCAATTAAATAAAGAAATTTACTTAAATAAGAGAAAGATAAAATTATGTTAGGTAGTTCAACTATTGTTGGATTGGATTAAAGTTTTGAGATGATGGCAGCTAAATTAGGAACTACTATAATGAATGCAATTAATATTTTAAAATTATAATGATTTTAATATATATCTAATCATTATTATCTATCAATTATGTCTATATTATATACAATAAATTTTCATTTTTTAATATTTAATATACTTTTTTATTTATATTAGTTACATTGCTAAGTTATTTAAGATTATAGAATATAAAATATACAATAAACAATAATTTATCATCATCATTATTAATCTGTTTAGTTGGTATTATTAATAGTCCATGCTCTTATTTCGCATTTTAATTTTATTAATTCTTCTCTATTGATACTAGATTATTTATTCAACTTTTCTTTAATTGATTTTTTTGGAGATTTTAAAAGAATGCTTTTTATAGGTAAAAGAGAATATCTCTTTTTTATTTCTATTTATTTTGAATATCTATTTAATGCTTATGAGTTTGCAGTACTATTTCTATAATTTAATCTAAATTAAAGTAGATTTGATCTTATTTCAAAATCATTCTATCTCATTTCTTAAATTTAGAATCTATTTTTTCTAGTTGATTAATGAATTTGGTTCTTGATTTGCATTATCAATTAGTTTAATCCATCTTCATAACAATTAATTTTTGACATGAATATAATTTATAGATTAATAAGGAACTGAATTGTATTTAAAGTATAATTTATACATTTTATGGAATATGTTATTAATAAGTTTTTAATTAATATGTGGAATCAATTTAAATATATATATATATTATTTCAATAATTAAAATTTTGATTTTCTTATTTCTGAACCTAATCAATTTTATAAATCATTATCATTTATATTAATTAAACAAAATATATATTTAATTATATAATTTTATAATTTGATTTTTCATAATGTATGTCTATGAATTTTAAAGAAAAGCAAGAGAATATCTCCTTGGCTAAAAATTATCTTTGAAATCAATAATGCAAAAATATAATTAAGAAAGATTAGAATAATAAAGATCTTCCAAATAAATGTCATCAATAATTAATACAAAAACTGAGTCATCAGTAATCATAAGTGATTCTTTGATAACTGCAACAAGACATTTAAAGAAAGAAAAAGCTTTTTTAATAAGAAAATCGCCAGATAATTATAAAAATTAGATAGAGTAAAAGAAATATAAATCAATCTATGCAAAATAAATAACACCTTTAAGATAAATGACTATAGCTGAATATATTTATCCAGAACCTATTAGATATGTAAGGCATAAATAAATTACATAATCTTCTGCCTTCAAAAATTTTGTTGCATAAAAGCAAATAAAAACTGAGGAATCAGCCCATTAGCAATGTATAACAAGTAGAATTAATAAACCTTTATAAAGAATTGTTAGTGAAACTAGTAAGCAGCGTCAATCTAAAAAAAATTAAAATTTATAAATGGAATAACATCGAAAATTAAGTGGATGGAGTATTAATAGCAATGAAAGCAAATATTGATTTGTATTTCTTTTTCATAATGTTAATCTCTAATAATAGAAATAATAAGTTATTGATTAATTTCTAAATATGTATAATTAAAAGGTAAATGTTTTGGTAATAATAATTTATTTATCATAAATGCATAATTATTCTGTAAATTAAAATGAGTTTCATAATTATATTATTTTGATAATAAATTAATTAATATTCAAATATTATATTAATATTACAATTATATGTTTCTCATTATTTTGGAAAATGTTTACAATTCTTTTAATTATTAACTATTAATATGTATATATTTAATTTATTTATTAAAAATGAAAATTAATTAATACATATATGTAAAATTAATTGAAAAAAATAGTTTACTTGGAAAGATGGATTACATTAATGATGATAATAAAAAAATAATTTAAATGTTATAGTATTATTCAATATTGGATTCACATAGTAAATTAAATTTAGACAATCATTACAATTACAAATATTAAATCGAATAATGAATATTAGAATTTGACTACTTTACTTTATGGATTATTTATTTCAATTATTAGACCTGAAATTGGAATTATTAACTATATTCCAATAGAAATTATATTTATTGTTACATTTATCATGGTCATTTTACATAAACTTATTATTGGGCTATTATTATATAATTTTTAAAATTATTTTAACACTCATCTAACTCTGATTAATTAATTATTACTTTTATTTGTTGGAATTTATTAATAAACAATTTGTAAGTTTTTAGGATTATTTTTGTAAACAATTTGTTTTATACAAATATAAAAATCACAAGAATAAATCTAATATATAATTTTATCATGGATTATAATTTGCATTATCTAAATAGATATATTTATAACCTTAACCATTACAGAATCCCCTTTAACATATAAAATCCTATTTTATGAAAAGAGCAGAATATTTTTCTCAGCTTTTTTTTCTAATATATTAAAATTAATCTCTCACATCCTGTATTTTATAGTTTTAGATGATATTAATACTAATTAGATTCTACTCATAACTTCCATTATAACTATACTTATTTCAATTATAGAAATTGCAGAATAATTACAAAAACAGATTTACATATATTAATAAGCATAAAATATTGTATTTATTATTAACATTTTTAATATTTTATATGCTATCAAATCTATTTTAAGTTTAACAACTAATAATTAATTATTTATACAATAAATCTCAGTAATTTTATATCCAATTTTACTTTATTTAGTAATAATAATTAATAAGAAATAGGATAATCATTGTTTCTAAAGTTTATATCAATCTCCATCTATAATTTTAGATAAATTCAAATATTCATTGATTAAAAATTTGAATAAAATCTAAGAAAACGAATCAATGACACTCATTCAAGATGCATTAATCTATCTCTTACATAAATAATTTTGTTAGAGCTCTGAATGTATTTGTCACACAACTACTTATTATTCTAATGTTTCCAAAATTGCCCCTTTAACTATTTAAATGAGACAATAATTTTTCAAAAAAAAATTAAAATAACTCTCTTGTTTACTTTATTAATCTGTGTAAGGTTCAAAAGTAAAATTATTAGAATAAGTTATTAATCATTCTATCATGCAATATGATTTTGGTTTATCAATTGCTGCAATCAAGACACTCAATTCTATTTTAATAAGTGATACTTAATCTACTTACTTTTCTATTTCTTTTTAATCTTCAAGTACTGTTTAAACGAAGATTGATACAAATACTCTAGCATTATCAAATAATTCAGAAACTGCTGAATTAAGAGAATGTAATTTCAATTTTAAAGTTAATTTATCACTTATACAAAGAATTAAGATAAAAATCATAATAAGCATAGCTAAATTTGAAATGAAGAATTTATTGTCTCAATCATTCTATACTTATTCTTAGAATGTTATTATTGATTATTTATAAAAATTTCTGACATTTGAATTTTAAATGGATGATATCAAAACAATGATTATTTAATCGGCTTAATAAAAAGTTAATTATTATTAAAAACTCAATCAAGATAGTTCCTTTAATCTTAATAATATTTTATAAATAACAAGAGATACATGTAATTAAATCATATAAACTAATAAAATATTAAAATCTAAATTTTCAGATTTTCCTTGTTTGAGCATACAAAATGCTATTTGCTATTATGAATCTGAAATTACTAATAATTATCATGAAGCAAGAAAAGTCAGTAATTAAACTTCTATGTCTGATGAAAAATTTTTAATGTTTAATTCAAGTTTGATTAGTAATAAAGATAAGATTGGTTATCTTCTAATCGAAATCTCAAATGATTTTTAATAAACAGAGATTAAATTTGCTTCTAATTAATTTTAAAAATTATTTGAAAGAAAAAACTATGACTAAAAATTACAATTAGATGATCTATTACCTAAATTTCTTATTAAATAACATCCTACTTTTATTTAGAATTTTTTAACAACAGGACATTCAAAATTTTTCTAAAATTTTCAGTTAAATTTTTTAAATACAAATGATGGATTAATAAAAGGAGTAGGCATGTGTTATGATTTAACTAAAATAGAGAAATAATAAGATCAATTAATTTTTGCAGTTTTCTTTTAAGAATTATCTGACTGTAAAGCATATGTTTTGGTTGATGGAATTACAAAGTATAGTTATTTTAGTGAATGTTTTTTTAAAAAATTGGGATTTCAAGAACATGAGATTAAATTTATTAAATCTTCAAATATCTTATCAAATTTATCAATTTCATATTTATTACCTGATTATGATACATTAATTGATATAAATGAATAAGAAATTAGATTACAAGGAGTTGATTTATATTTTGCCAATATCTTTAGATTATTTAGTACAATATTTACAGAAAAGAAAGTTTAAAATTCATAGAACACATTTACAAAAATTGCTTGGAATAGAAAAGATAAATTATTTAAATATAGTGTCAATTTATAAATAACAAGAAGATAATTTAATGAATTTTATTACATAATAATTGAAATATTATCAATAGAAGCAAATTCATAAACTAATATAATTGATTCAATAAATCGAATTGAATGCCAAAATTATTTATAGTAAAAAGAATGTTCAATAAGTGAAGAATCTGAAAGTTATTCTTCTGGTTAAATCAACCTTTAATATTAAGATATACCAAATAAAGTTGAAATATTTCAAGGATTAAAAAATGAATTTATTTTGTCTCATCATTAATTAGATTCATTAAGTTAACCAAGAATTACAATATGTGAACCAGGAAGGATTGTAACACCTAATGAAAGTTCATCTGATACAAAAAGAAAGTTTCATTCAAGGAATCAATAACAATTTTATTCACAAAAGCTATCATAAGCAGATATTTAAGCTTTAATTTCAGAAAAAAAATTAGATATACCTTATGATGATGAATAGCAATAACAATTAAAAATGGATTAATTATCTGATAAGTCTTCTATAGAAGATGAATAAAAAAAGAAATTCATGAAAAAATTTGAACTTGTTTAAAAATTAATGGTTTACAAAAGACCATTAAAACTTATTGAAATTTTATCTCTTCTAACACTTTAGAATATCATCTTTACAATATTTTCTTTAATTGCTATAACTGTGATGTTTAATGATTTATCTTAAGTTCTTAAAGAAATTGATACAATATCATTACATTCAAGTATAATGGTTAAACATGACATATTCTTTTCAATTAGAGCTACCATTAAAATTTATTAGGAATATTAAAAAAAAAAAGTCCTTTTAAATGTAACAAATCTAATATCACCTTTCTATAATAATTTAGCTGAATCTTATTTAGATTATTAAAATGATTTATATAATCAGTTTTAGAATTCAAATTTATAACCGTATCTTGATGATTATTATTTAATTATTTACTAATTAGAATCCCTAAGTAATTAATAATTGTAGGAAAAGAATGTCACTGTAAGAGAAGCTCTAATGATTAATCTTTAATATGAATTTGCTGTTTTAGATGCTTTTCTAAAATAAAAAGATATCTCTAATTCAACCTTTCAAGTATTTTTATTTACAAATTTTGTGAAATTACATTAATATTTGGAAGATCTAACTAAAAATTTACTTTCTGAATCAACCAACAGAAGTCTTAGTGTTGCCAGTAAATGGATGGTTATTTGGATCTTTTTTTAAATTGGAGCATTAGTTTTAGCAATTTTTAATTTTTATTGCTATTATAATTATATTACATTTTATGATAAGTTTTTATTAGCTCTAAAATTTATTGACTCAGAATTGATAGCTCAAGAAATTGAGCGATACAAAGAAATGATAAAAAAACTAAAGGATAATAGTAGACATGTATTTGAATACAAAATTGATTTGGATTAAATTTAATAATCTAAAACTAATAAACGATAATTATCAATTAAAAATAAAGAAATCATCAACAAAAAAGTCATAAAATTAAGAAGATTTTCATCATTTATGTTAATATTTGTTTTGAATTTAATTTTTGGAGGTTATTCTGCCATAATTAATTAAAGAACATAAATATATTTAAATAAATACGAAAAAACAGCAAATTTATTCAAACTCTTTTAGGATTTAAGTTTAAGTGGAGGAAATTGCTTTTTATATAAAGAAATATTACTTGGTTTTAATAATTATACTTTTTATTTTTAAGAAGATAGAGGAAATATGTATAAGATGCTATACAATTCTTTAGATTCTATTTAGTAATATTTAAACTTAAGTAATACTTTAGATTTTAACACTTATCTTGCTACAGATTCTTTTATTATTCTTTTCAATGATTTAAAAACTAAATCTTTATGTTAATATTTTACTCAAGTATGTAAAAAATTATGATATAGGAATATTTATATCCATATTGCTAATTATCATTTGACGGTGTTCTATCTTCAGGGTTAGTTTCATCCTTAAATTACATATAAAATACTATCAAAACTTAATAAGCCATCAACAACTTTACGTTTAAAACAGACTATAACTTATATGAATAAGAAGGAAGTTAAATAATTACAAGAGCTTTCTTGAATATGTCTTTAACTTTTAAAGAAGATTTAACATCATTGACATAAAATTAAACTGACTTAGCATATGTATTTATTCTTATTCTTATTTAGAATTTATCGATTGCATTTTTCATATACTCATTCATTGTCACATTTTGTTTATTATTTTATCTAAAGTAGCATTTAACGAATGAATATTATATAATTAGAAGAATTATAAGCTTAATTCCAATTAATGTTTTAATTTTTGATGAGACACTAGACAGATATTTAAGGGAGATTGCCTTGCACCAAGAATTATTGTGAAAAATAGTTTATACCAAAAAATTTATGGTTTTCTTTGAATTCAAAATGATAAAAATAGTTATTATTTTCTGTTTTATTAATGTTGTTTTCCTATATAGAATAAATAAAGTTAAGTACTTTCAATTATATTTATGGTATAATAAAATCTTATTATATGTATATTAAATTTTGTACAATAAATTTAATTAAAAATAAAAAAATGAAATAGATGGCAGATTCTTTAACTTAATAGAGATTAAGGGATATTTAATATAATAAAATAGATATTTAACCTATTAGTCAAACTACTATGAAAGAGTTGATTGGATCATTAAATAATAATGTATTTGATGAAAAATTCTAATAAAAATACTCAAATCATTTGAATGAAAGAGTATTTTTATTCAAAGTAATCTATGATGGCTAGAGTTGGGAAATAAGAAGAACAATAGGATAATTTTAACAATTAGAAAAGGATATGGCAAATAATATATTTTACAAAATTTTCTAAAAAAATAAGATAACAGGAGATTTAGATAAAGAAGATCCAAAAAAAGCATTACTTCTTCTTCATAAATTCTTAAAGATGATAACAAGCAATGAAATTATACCATAATGTGCATTAACATTTTTAGAGATTTCTTGTATCAATTTACCATTCAAAATGAAAGAAGGCTTTATGGAAAAGATATCAGTAAAACAAAAAGGTTACATTTGGAGAAAGAGATATTTTATAATAACTTAATAATCCCTTCTCTACTTAGAAGGTCCTGAAAAAGATAAATGTTAAATTCGAGAATGTCTAAGTTTTGATGCTCGTTTCTGCTTTTTTTTAGGCAGAAAATAGAAATTAATAATATTCTCTTCATAGGATACATTAATTTTGAAAGCTGAAAATTTGACAGCCTCTATCGACTTTATGTATGCACTTTTTAAATCGAAAAAGGAAAGTCCATATACAAAGTTGCATAGATTTGGATCATTTTCTCCAATAAGAACTTCAGATTGTAAATGGTATATTGATGGAGATTAATATTTTGAAGATGTTTGTGATGCAATCTTGGAAGCTAAAGAAACTATATATATTACTGATTGGTGGTTGAGTCCAGAAATGTATTTAAAGAGACCTGTTGATGTTAGGAAATATGCTTAATCGAGTGAATTTCTTTATACTAGACTTGATAATGTATTGAAATTAGCAGCTGATAAAGGAGTTAAAGTTTTAGTATTATTGTACAATGCTTTACTATCATTTTTATATAATGATCCAAAACATTCAAAAATGTAATTAGAAAGTATGTCTCCAAATATTAGGGTATTAAAACATCCATCTCAAGCAATACCAAAATTATTTTCTCATCATGAAAAAATGGTTGTTATAGATTAAAAAATTGGATTTATGGGTGGTTTAGATTTATGTTTTGGAAGATGGGATAATTAAAAACATCTTTTATTTGATGATATTCATCCTTTTGAATAATTATGGCCTTAAATTGATTTTTCAAATTCTAGAGTTAGAGATTTCTTTGATGTAAGAAATTATGAATAAACACTTTTAAAAGAAAATGAACCAAGAATGCCTTGGCATGATATAGCTATTTGTAATTATTTATTATATTTTTATATAGAAATTAAAGGAGATTCAGTTATTGATTTATCAAGACATTTTGTTTAATATTGGAATCATGTAATGATGACTAAATAAAAAAAGAAAAAGTAAGAATTATTACATGCTAATGATTTAAAAATGGAAGGATTTGTTCCTACTGATACTTCAAGTTTTATTGATAATTCAAATGTTATTTATTCTGGAAGAAGGGAATCTTTAATTTAAATGAAGCAACCGATTCTTTTAGATTAAATAAAAACGGAAGAAGGTTAAATAGAAAAAAATTAAAAAATTTAATAAGATGAAAGTGCCATCTAAGAACAATCTAATTCCCAGCAGTTTATTCAATAGCAATATAAAGAGTTCTATAATTACTAAATGTAAGAAAAATAATTGAGGTAAACAATAGAAGACGATGATGAAGAACAACATTATTATATTTTAGAAAATTAAGATAAACAAAAAAGTAAAATTTAAGATGAAAAATTTGATTAAATAGATGAGTAAGATTATGAAGGAATGTAAGCTAAAATTAATTTAGAATTTTTCATTCCTCATATTGATATGAATTAAAATTAATGTAATTATTTCCATCTTTATTTATAGAAAAATGTGTAACATAATTAACAAGATCATCTGGTACATGGTCAACTGGTATTAAATATACTGAGAAATCTATTTAAAANTGCATAGATTTGGATCATTTTCTCCAATAAGAACTTCAGATTGTAAATGGTATATTGATGGAGATTAATATTTTGAAGATGTTTGTGATGCAATCTTGTAAGCTAAAGAAACTATATATATTACTGATTGGTGGTTGAGTCCAGAAATGTATTTAAAGAGACCTGTTGATGTTAGGAAATATGCTTAATCGAGTGAATTTCTTTATACTAGACTTGATAATGTATTGAAATTAGCAGCTGATAAAGGAGTTAAAGTTTTAGTATTATTGTACAATGCTTTACTATCATTTTTATATAATGATCCAAAACATTCAAAAATGTAATTAGAAAGTATGTCTCCAAATATTAGGGTATTAAAACATCCATCTCAAGCAATACCAAAATTATTTTCTCATCATGAAAAAATGGTTGTTATAGATTAAAAAATTGGATTTATGGGTGGTTTAGATTTATGTTTTGGAAGATGGGATAATTAAAAACATCTTTTATTTGATGATATTCATCCTTTTGAATAATTATGGCCTTAAATTGATTTTTCAAATTCTAGAGTTAGAGATTTCTTTGATGTAAGAAATTATGAATAAACACTTTTAAAACAAAATGAACCAAGAATGCCTTGGCATGATATAGCTATTTGTAATTATTTATTATATTTTTATAGAAATTAAAGGAGATTCAGTTATTGATTTATCAAGGCATTTTGTTTAATATTGGAATCATGTAATGATGACTAAATAAAAAAAGAAAAAGTAAGAATTATTACATGCTAATGATTTAAAAATGGAAGGATTTGTTCCCACTGATACTTCAAGTTTTATTGATTATTCAAATGTTATTTATTCTGGAAGAAGGGAATCTTTAATTTAAATGAAACAACCGATTCTTTTAGATTAAATAAAAACGAAAGAAGTTTAAATAGAAAAAAATTAAACAATTTAATAAGAAGAAACTGTCATCTAGGAACAATCTAATTCCCAGCAGTTTATTCAATAGCAATATAAAGATTTCTATAATTACTAAATGTAAGAAAAATAATTGAGGTAAACAATAGAAGACGATGATGAAGAACAACATTATTATATTTTAGAAAATTAAGATAAACAAAAAAGTAAAATTTAAGATGAAAAATTTGATTAAATAGATGAGTAAGATTATGAAGGAATGTAAGCTAAAATGAATTTAGAATTTTTCATTCCTCATATTGATATGAATTAAAATTAATGTAATTATTTTCATCTTTATTTATAGAAAAATGTGTAACATAATTAACAAGATCATCTGGTAAATGGTCAACTGGTATTAAATAAACTGAGAAATCTATTTAAAATGCTTATGTCTCACTTATTAAAAATGCTTAACATTTTATTTATATTGAAAATCAATTCTTTATTAGTAATACAGCTGGAAATCCTGTTAAAAATTTAGTGGCTAATGCTCTAATATCTAGAATTAAAGAAGCACATGAAAAGTAATAGAGATTTAAAGTTATTGTCTTTGTTCCATTATTACCAGGTTTTGAAGGTGAAATTGATTAATCCAATTCTGCTGTTCTTAAAGTTTAATTACATTTTGAATATCAAACCATAAGTAGAGGAGGCAAATCTATAATAGAAACCTTAAAATAAGATGGAATCGAACCAGAAAATTACATTTAATTCTTCGGTCTTAGGTAACATGAATTATCTCCAGAACCAAATTCAATACCTGTGACTGAAATTATTTATATTCATTCAAAATTAATCATAGTTGATGATGAAATTGCATTAATAGGATCTGCAAATATCAATGATAGAAGTTTATTAGGAAATAGAGATTCAGAACTTGCAATTATTGTTTAAGATTAAATAAAAGTTGATTCTATAATGAATGGTATACCATATAAAGCATCTAAATTTGCACATACTCTTCGCACTGCACTTTATATGGAACATTTCGATATGAAATATGAATAAGTTATTGATCCCTTGGGTTAATAATTTGAAAAGGAATCAACTGCATAAGCTGATATTAATACAAGAATTTATAAATAAATTTTTGCTTGTTATCCTCATGATGATATTAAGAAAGTATCTGATTATGAAGAAGTATTCAATTATTTAATTAATTTTAGTTTAAAGCAAACAAACATTTAGATGAATACGATAAATTAAAGTAGTTTATTAAAGGTCATGCAGTAACTTTCCCATTATATTTTTTATGTGAAGAAAATTTAAATATTAAAGTTACATAAAAAGAATACTTAGCCCCTGAAATAAGTTTTACATGATATCTTATATAGGATTTATAAAAAATGTGTATATTATTTTTCAATCTACAATATTTCAAAAGGGATGCTATTTAAATATTTCCCATTTTTAAGTACCAATTTCATTATAATCATCAATTGATATAGAAAATTAAGAAAGCATACTTTAATATTTATTTGCAAAGTTTTTCATTCCAAACCAAGTTCCAAATACTGGATCAGAAGCGATTTTAATATCAATTGGGCAATCATATTCTGATATTAAATCTTTCTACAATCTTTACATGATTCCTTATGTTTTTGCTCCACCTCCAGTTAGGATGATGTTTTATAATAATAGCTTATCTAAACCTTTAGGTGATAATTTAATCATATCTACTAATCCTTATTGTTCCACTCCAATTAAATTAGGATAAAAGTAGATTTCTTAACATCTCACTCGATCAACACTTAATTGGACTTGACTTAGATTCATTCCTAATTAATGAACATTGGCTATTGATTTAAGAATTTTGATTTCGAAATCAGGATCTAGGTCTTTTAGTTCTTATTCAATTTCTTATAGTTTATATTTTGACTTTTCATCAGCAGAATCTATTTCTTTTGTAACACTTCTATAAATTTCCCAATCTTTATCATCTTTTCCAAAGTCATCTTCAACTTTATCATCAGCTCCAAGAAAAGCTAAAGTTTAGATTCTTTTTTAATTGAATCTTGAATTCCTACTATTCATTTCTTATTATAATTTTTTTCTTTCTTGAATTGAAAGTACTATACGATCTCTTTTTTCATAAAGCATTTATAAATATTTTTCAGGTTCTTCTAATTTAAATTTATTAGCATCTTTTTATAATTATTTAAATTCTTAATTTTTTTATTTTTTGAGTAATGCTTATTCATGCATAACTTTTTAATATCTCTTTTAATTTANAGAACAATCTAATTCCCAGCAGTTTATTCAATAGCAATATAAAGAGTTCTATAATTACTAAATGTAAGAAAAATAATTGAGGTAAACAATAGAAGACGATGATGAAGAACAACATTATTATATTTTAGAAAATTAAGATAAACAAAAAAGTAAAATTTAAGATGAAAAATTTGATTAAATAGATGAGTAAGATTATGAAGGAATGTAAGCTAAAATGAATTTAGAATTTTTCATTCCTCATATTGATATGAATTAAAATTAATGTAATTATTTTCATCTTTATTTATAGAAAAATGTGTAACATAATTAACAAGATCATCTGGTACATGGTCAACTGGTATTAAATAAACTGAGAAATCTATTTAAAATGCTTATGTCTCACTTATTAAAAATGCTTAACATTTTATTTATATTGAAAATCAATTCTTTATTAGTAATACAGCTGGAAATCCTGTTAAAAATTTAGTGGCTAATGCTCTAATATCTAGAATTAAAGAAGCACATGAAAAGTAATAGAGATTTAAAGTTATTGTCTTTGTTCCATTATTACCAGGTTTTGAAGGTGAAATTGATTAATCCAATTCTGCTGTTCTTAAAGTTTAATTACATTTTGAATATCAAACCATAAGTAGAGGAGGCAAATCTATAATAGAAACCTTAAAATAAGATGGAATCAAACCAGAAAATTACATTTAATTCTTCGGTCTTAGGTAACATGAATTATCTCCAGAACCAAATTCAATACCTGTGACTGAAATTATTTATATTCATTCAAAATTAATCATAGTTGATGATGAAATTGCATTAATAGGATCTGCAAATATCAATGATAGAAGTTTATTAGGAAATAGAGATTCAGAACTTGCAATTATTGTTTAAGATTAAATTAAAGTTGATTCTATAATGAATGGTATACCATATAAAGCATCTAAATTTGCACATACTCTTCGTACTGCACTTTATATGGAACATTTTAATATGAAATATGAAGAAGTCATTGATCCCTTGAGTTTATAATTTGAAAAGGAATCAACTGCATAAGCTAACATTAATACAAGAATTTATAAATAAATTTTTGCTTGTTATCCTCATGATGATATTAAGAAAGTATCTGATTATGAAGAAGTATTCAATTATATAAATTATTTTAGTTTAAAGCAAACAAACATTTAGATGAATACGATAAATTAAAGTAGTTTATTAAAGGTCATGCAGTAACTTTCCCATTATATTTTTTATGTGAAGAAAATTTAAATATTAAAGTTACATAAAAAGAATACTTAGCCCCTGAAATAAGTTTCACATGATATCTTATATTTAGAATATAGGATTTATAAAAAATATGTATATTATTTTTCAATCTACAATATTTGAAAATGGATGCTATTTAAATATCTCCCATTTTTAAGTACCAATTTCATTATAATCATCAATTGATATAGAAAATTAAGAAATCATACTTTAATATTTATTCGCAAAGTTTTTCATTCCAAACCAAGTTCCAAATACTGGATCAGAAGCTATTTTAATATCAATTGGACAATCATATTCTGATATTAAATCTTTCTACAATCTTTACATGATTCCTTATGTTTTTGCTCCACCTCCAGTTAGGATAATGTTTTATAATAATAGCTTATCTAAACCTTTAGATGATAATTTAATCATATCTACTAATCCTTATTGTTCCACTCCAATTAAATTAGGTTAAAAGTAGATTTCTTAACATCTCACTCGATCAACACTTAATTGGACTTGACTGAGATTCATTCCTAATTGATGAACATTGGCTATTGATTTAAGAATTTTGATTTCGAAATCAGGATCTAGGTCTTTTAGTTCTTATTCAATTTCTTATAGTTTATATTTTGACTTTTCATCAGCTGAATCTATTTCTTTTGTAACACTTCTATAAATTTCCCAATCTTTATCATCTTTTCCAAAGTCATCTTCAACTTTATCATCAGATCCAAGAAAAGCTAAAGTTTAGATTCTTTTTTAATTGAATCTTGAATTCCTACTATTCATTTCTTATTATAATTTTTTTCTTTCTTGAATTGAAAGTACTATACGATCTCTTTTTTCATAAAGCATTTATAAATATTTTTCAGGTTCTTCTAATTTAAATTTATTAGCATCTTTTTATAATTATTTAAATTCTTAATTTTTTTATTTTTTGAGTAATGCTTATTCATGCATAACTTTTTAATATCTCTTTTAATTTAATTAAGATGGTGTAAGTTTATCATCAGGAACATTTAATAAATTATATTTTAATTCATCTAAAGCTTCTTTAGGTGCTAAACCAAGTTTAACTTATAAAGTTGTAATTTTCTTTTTAAGTTCATCATTATTTTAATCTGTTTCTAATTCCTATTATAATGACATTAATTGTTATTCTAATTAAGACTTCTTGTTTTATCTACTTTATTATATAGATTCCTATAATCTAACTCTCATTCTTTATCTATTTTCATCCTTTCTCTTTAAGTCTTCTGCACTTACAATTTTCTATACAATAGGTATATCAATATATATTGGATCTAAAAATTACAATTAATCATCATAAAATCTATTTTATTCAGATATTTTATCTCTATATCCATAATATTATTATGGTCCTTAAAAATAACGCAATTAGAGTTGATAATCTATGGCCACACTAGTATATTATTTATGCCAATAATCCATTTGAGCATATGTAAATTTTAAATGTGGATGTCTTAATTGGATTGTTTAATAAAAGTATTTCAAACTGTTTAAACCTCCCAAATTCAGTCTTTTGATATTTGAATATACCACTTGACCATTAACAATTGGTACTACATGAACAGTTTGATCACCAAGATGAACTATAAGCTATGTTTATTTTAAATAAGCCTCCAAATCATCTTGAAATACAGAAAACAATGCATCCACTCCTAACATAACACTTGGCACCTAATAACATTCAAACATTTGCTCTAACACTATCATTCTTGCTAAATCAGTAGTAGCAAAGCATTCTGTTAATATCATTGGATGATTCACTCTCCCATGTCTTCCAGCCTATAATCTTTCAAATACAAAATCATTTAATTATTCTAATGCGCCAGAATGCTAAATGAGATTCTTCTCAAATGGAGATCTGTAATTCTTAAACACATCTGTATCCCATTATGCTATTTGGTTTGATTGTGTATTAGAATCCTTAAATTTATNATGAACATTGGCTATTGATTTAAGAATTTTGATTTCGAAATCAGGATCTAGGTCTTTTAGTTCTTATTCAATTTCTTATAGTTTATATTTTGACTTTTCATCAGCAGAATCTATTTCTTTTGTAACACTTCTATAAATTTCCCAATCTTTATCATCTTTTCCAAAGTCATCTTCAACTTTATCATCAGCTCCAAGAAAAGCTAAAGTTTAGATTCTTTTTTAATTGAATCTTGAATTCCTACTATTCATTTCTTATTATAATTTTTTTCTTTCTTGAATTGAAAGTACTATACGATCTCTTTTTTCATAAAGCATTTATAAATATTTTTCAGGTTCTTCTAATTTAAATTTATTAGCATCTTTTTATAATTATTTAAATTCTTAATTTTTTTATTTTTTGAGTAATGCTTATTCATGCATAACTTTTTAATATCTCTTTTAATTTAATTAAGATGGTGTAAGTTTATCATCAGGAACATTTAATAAATTATATTTTAATTCATCTAAAGCTTCTTTAGGTGCTAAACCAAGTTTAACTTATAAAGTTGTAATTTTCTTTTTAAGTTCATCATTATTTTAATCTGTTTCTAATTCCTATTATAATGACATTAATTGTTATTCTAATTAAGACTTCTTGTTTTATCTACTTTATTATATAGATTCCTATAATCTAACTCTCATTCTTTATCTATTTTCATCCTTTCTCTTTAAGTCTTCTGCACTTACAATTTTCTATACAATAGGTATATCAATATATATTGGATCTAAAAATTATAATTAATCATCATAAAATCTATTTTATTCAGATATTTTATCTCTATATCCATAATATTATTATGGTCCTTAAAAATAACGCAATTAGAGTTGATAATCTATGGCCACACTAGTATATTATTTATGCCAATAATCCATTTGAGCATATGTAAATTTTAAATGTGGATGTCTTAATTGGATTGTTTAATAAAAGTATTTCAAACTGTTTAAACCTCCCAAATTCAGTCTTTTGATATTTGAATATACCACTTGACCATTAACAATTGGTGTTACATGAACAGTTTGATCACCAAGATGAACTATAAGCTATGTTTATTTTAAATAAGCTTCCAAATCATCTTGAAATACAGAAAACAATGCATCCACTCCTAACATAACACTTGGAACCTAATAACATTCAAATATTTGCTCTAACACTACCATTCTTGCTAAATCAGTAGTAGCAAAGAATTCTGTTAATATCATTGGATGATTCACTATCCCATGTCTTCCAGCCTATAATCTTTCAAATACAAAATCATTTAATTATTCTAATGCGCCAGAATGCTAAATGAGATTCTTCTCAAATGGAGATCTGTAATTCTTAAACACATCTGTATCCCATTATGCTATTTAGTTTGATTGTGTATTAGAATTTATATAACTGCGAATCACCACATCAGGGGCTTGAGTTGTTGCATAGCCCTTTCAATAAAACCAACTAAATGTAGATGGAATCTATATACATTTTTATGATGGTTAATAAATCATTCTTTCTTTTTTAATAATTGAATTAGGATATTAAGATATTCCAAATACATTTTACAGAATCTTTTTAACTTAACATAAACCTGCAGAATTAATATTATGATAAAATAATTATTCACATTAAGAAATTTTTTCAAATTGAAAAATTGGAGATTTTTAATTTATATTTCAAGAAAAACATAAAATGATACCTAAATTTCTTTATTAATTATAATTTAAATAATTTAACAATCTTATTAAGTTTTTGATATTATCTGGACTGATAACTTTAGTAATTTCCATAGTCTAAAGGAGGCATCATCAAAGAAAATAATTTCTTAAAAATTATATTATTAGCTCTAAGATGCCAAATCAGTAAGGGTGACAATAGAAGTGATTTTTTGATATTAGAATATTTTAATAAATAAAAATTTAACTTTTTTTAATGATTTATCCAGATAAGGTTGTATTGGAATGATATTTTGATCTATTTCTAAATTTCCAAGCTATTTCGATAAATTATTAAACAACATTAAATTTTTTTTATTAAAGTATTCTAATATCAAAAAATCACTTCTATTGTCACCCTTACTGATTTGGCATCTTAGAGCTAATAATATAATTTTTAAGAAATTATTTTCTTTGATAATAACTTTTGAGAAAATTCTAAAAATTCTCATTATCTGTTACTGATGAAAATAGTTTTTAATTAACAAATAGCTCCATCAAACTATTTAATCAGGCTATTAATGATAAATAAATTCACACTAATATCGATCATAGTAGAGATTCTACAATAATATCATGATTTTGTAATAAAGTATATATATTTTATAGATTGTTTTATAATTTAATGTAAAAGTTATTTAAATTGTAAAATTTAATTCTATAGATAGATACATAAATTATTTAATACTATCATTTAACCCAAATCCTAAATAATTTTTCAATTCGTAAATCTCCTTTAAGCATTGCAAGGATTCTCAACTATACAAAAGATTTCTTATTTATGATCATGATGTTCAGATGTCTTTGAGGTTTTGCATTTTTACCAAATTGGATGAACAATTTTAATTAGATCAATTATTAAAGTCATAAATAGTATAGTGCTCATTAAACTGATAATACCCCAACCTATGATTATTAAAACATCTGGTTAATCTTGGTAAAAATCATTTACTAAGTACATCCCTAAAATAATAAATTATAAAAAATGAGATGCTAATTATTTAATATTTTCTGAAGGTAGCATTAGGATTTTTCGAATATACAGAAAGTATATAAATTAGAATTCATTTAAAAGGCATAACAATATTTGTATTTAAGAGGATTCAAAAAAGAAAATTAAAAATGAAATAAATAACATTTTTTGCATACACAAATAAGTAAAACTGTTAATCTTTTATGATTATATTTATTGTTTTTTAAGTAATGGGATGCTAAAGGAAGATATTTATATCAATAGTATTATAACTCCATATAGGATTGAAATCGCAATAGAAACACCTAATTTTCCTTCAAAATCAGATTTTTGAAATCTTAAGGCTAAAAATGTATTTAAACCAAATTCATAAATCATTGCTAAAAATATAGCTTAAATTGGTTCAATTATGCTGATTATTTAAATTCTTAGACAAAGTTTTTATATTTAATTTACTATAAGTAATAAAATTTGATTAGATTAAAAACATGTCAATTAATGAATTTTTTTTAAGATTTAAAATGTTACTTTTTTTAAACAAAAATATGCAAGAAAAAATATAGCATAAACTAAAAATAATTATGCAAAATTATTTAAATAATTTGCATTCCTATCATCCATTTCAAAAATAGGTTTAGAATGATAAAAAGATACAATATCCTTCATTGAACCATTAGGATTCATTCCAAGAAAATCAAAAAAATTTGTCAATTGTATAATTTTAAATGTCTCATAAAATCTTTGTAGATTTACTCCAATTCTTGAATTTATGTATTTCAAATAATAAAGTTATTATATAGTATCTAATAAATTGGAAATAATTTCTCCTTATCCAGATATAGATGATATAGCAATAGTCATTGCCACAAATTTGATTATGTAATCATTAAGTCCAATCAAAGATGTCATAACCTTTTATTCTTAATCTCTTAAAATATTTGATGAAGATAGTCTTATACTTATTGAATCTTATGATATCCCAGCTCCATCCTAATTAACTAAAATGCCTTTATCAACAAATTTTAATAAAAGAATAGGATTTTAAACATATTTAATATATTCAACAGATACTTAAATATCTACAAATTAAAGTTCTTATGTAATATTTGTTTTTGCTATAATTTAAATCAATGCTAAATCAATCTCGTTTTAAATCTCAAATTTTAAACTATCAAAATAATCTTATTCGGTTACTCCGGCTATTAATCTCATTTTAGAAGAGTATTTAAGTCTGATAAATTGTACCCCTTATTGTTCTCTTTCAAATTCTAATATAGCAAATGAAGAACTTAAAATAGCACATTCATTGTCTCTACATATACTATTTTCTGATTATGTACAATCATCATCACAACCATCTCCATTTATTAGATTACCATCATCGCATTATTCTAGATCAATCAAAACTCCATCTCCACATTAAGAAAAGCACATATTATCAAATAGTTAATATCCAATAAAGCAAGTCAAACATTCATTATTTTCACAAAATTCACAATTTTTAATTTTACAATTAGAATTATTATATTCATAGCAATTAAAATCAAATAATTCATAACCTTCTTTGCATTAAAGACAATAATTTTAAGGAGAACATGTTTAACAATTAACACCACATTATAATTTGCATAAATTACATTCATCATCAGATATTTCATTACCATCATCGCATTCTTCAAAAGGTTATATAGTTATTCCATCACCGCAAAATGGTTTACAAGATAAACTTGTAAATGAATAATATAATCCATTTTCACAACTAATTTGCTCTCTATAACATTCACCTTTAACGCATTTACAACCTGGTTGACATGAATAATAACATTTATGGCATCCATCATATTCAATGTCATTGCCATCATCGCACTCCTCGTTCAAATATACAAAACCATCTCCACAAATACTATAACATTAATTAGTCTCTTGATTATAATAACTTCCAGGTTAAGTGCATTATTATACGTACTCACATTAAAAAGTAGTTGGAGCAATAATTGTGTTTATTTAACAGAAAATACATTTACCAAATTCACATATTTCACAGGTTTCACTACATTAATACTTGCATTAATAACATCCATCAAGTACCAAATAATTATTATCTTCACATTCTTCTGTTCCAGATATTATCCCATCTCCACAAATTGGTTCACATTTATTAGTAAATATATCTAATTTAAAATTCTTATAACAAATAATGCACTAATTATTTATCTAAATTTAACAATATTAAATTAACTAAGGTAAAACATCCATAATTTAAATTTTAACTATTTCATTTTTTTTCTAAAAATCACAAATATTTTAAAGATTATTTAATAAATATCCTTATTGGCATTCTTAACAGATTCCTTAAATTGTTATTTTACAAAATTCAATTATATTTTATTTATATTATTCTTAAAAAGGTATTATAGGAATTTATCTAACATCCACACATTCACCATTAAAAGCTTCAAATCCATCAATACAAAAAAAGCAAATTCCATTAAGACATTCCAAACATTCTGATTAACATTAATAAACACATTAATGACATCCATCAAATGGATATTAATTGCCATCATCACAATCCTCACCTTCTACAATCATTGAATCTCCACAAATGTTCCTACAGTAACGATTTATAAGTTTAAAACCAACTTAACATGAAGTACAACCAATAGTTGTGCATGTTAAACAGGATTATTGACATGATAATCGACAATTATAACATCCATCTAACATTAAGGTATTCATTTCTTCACATTATTCATTTCCAACATAATATTTATCTCCACATGATTCAATACATAGTCTTGTATAAGGATCTAAAACCCATCCAAAAGTAAGACATTCAGTACAATATCCTCTTTTACATCTTGTACATTATGGTTAACATTCAATTTTACATTAATAGCATCCATCAAATTAAATGGTATTTGAATCATCACATTCTTCTAATCCACTAACAATGCCATCACCACAAATATCTATACAAGGTAATACAGTAGTAGCATCACAAACAGTACATTATGCAGGACATTAAAATCTACAATTATGACATCCATCAAATTAGATTAAATTTCCATCATCACATTGTTCCTCAACTACAACTTATAAATCTCCACAAATAGGTAAACATTAATTATTTATATTATCATAACCAGATGGACAAACAAAAACAGCACAATTATTATCATGCCAAATGGAAATACCATCACCACAAATCTTATAACAAGATGTAAATAATGCATCTTCCACAACTGGACATTATATACAAGAATCTTAACTATTATCATAATATCCTAATTGACATTTGCAATCAAATCCATCCAAAATTCTAAATTGTGTTGAATGACAAGCTAAACAAGATGAATCTGATTATTCAAAACACTTTTCACATTTAGTTGAACAAGGCAAACATTACAATTAAAATTCATCAAAGTAATATCCATTATTACATTCACAAGTATTTCCATTTAATATTAAATTAACTAAAACTATGCATGCTTAACAATTCTTATTAGTAGGACCATTACATTTGCTACAAAGTTTATCACATGGTTAACATTGTTCTATATTAAGTTAGTCATAATAACCATCAAAACATAAACATTATCCATCTTATAAATATCGTAAAGATGTAGATTCACAATGTATACAATAGTTATTTGATTAACATTATTTGCAAGTATAATTGCAATCTAAACAATTAGTGCCATCAAAATATTAATTAAGTTGACAATTTAAAATACAAGATGTAGTTACTAATCCATAATTAGGCTTACATGTTAAACAATCATATTCATTTAAACACGTTAGACATTCATTAGGACAATATTCACATGTGGAAGTAGTATCATCTAAAAATTAATTTGATAAACATTATGATTATTCCACTTTTACTATGCTTGAATCATAAGCCATCCAAACATCACATGTCAATTCATTTGAACATTAATTGCAATATGGTTTACAGTAATGAACAACAATATAGTAGTTTGATAATCCACAATAGGAATCAATAACATTAACACCAAAACATTATATTGCAATTGTCAAAGTAGGATTATAGGTTAAGACTTATTCTATAATTTAAACTGGATTAACTGAATACAAAACTCTGTTTTCAGTACCATTATTGATTTCATATGAAAAATAATTTAGAGGGGAATTTGGAAAATTTGGACCAAATATAATCTAAAAATATATTGTTAAAGAATGATGTGGATTTAAAGTATATATCTGGGAAAATCTTGATTATGCCCAAACAAATTTTCCACCAAAAATAATTTTATTAGGTAGATAAGACCAAAAAATATCTGATCCTTTTTTAAAATCCATTGAAGAATTTTATTCTAAAACAAAAGTTGCATTTAAAGTATCTTTTACTGTGAAATCATAGAATTCTTTAATCAAATATTTGGAATCTATATTAGATAAGATTTAATATTACATTTAGTTACTTAATCATAATATGTACAAATAGAATTAATTAAAAGGGAGTTTACAGGACAATTAGATTAGGAACAAGTGCCATCTGAAACTTTGTAGTATCCACTTGCACAAGTTTCACACATATATCTTTTATTACAAAGAATACAATTAATAGGGCAAAAGCCAGATGTAAGGGTGAATAATCTAAGAAACCACCCTGCATTAGGTTGACTATTTAGAATAAATTTGAATACGTAAAATTTCCTTAGATTATAAAAATAAATTTCTTATCTAAAATGTTTAAAAACATATCAAGTTCAATAAAAATATTATTTGTACAACTCCCTGTATTTGGATGCGATTTAAAATCTCTTAAATTTACATTATGATATTAGAATTGGGTTCCATCATAATAAGTTGAACCATAATAAGTAGAATTAATATAAAAAGACACACCTGATCCTGCTGGAGTAGTATTACAAAAAATAAGTTGAATTTGCACTCCAACTGTATAAAATCCAGAATTAATGTTTAAAGAAATGTAAGATCCTTCTCTAAAGTGAAATACTCCATAATTGTAAGGGGAAACTTTTTTGTTTGAAACATCAATATGCTATGGATCATATATTATATTCCAATTTAATAGTGTAGTCAAATCTAAATTAGCTAAATTAGACTAAAAAAATTATGTATGTTTGAAGCCAACGCAAATCCTATTTTATGACTTGACTATTGAGTTTTGAATAGGGCATTAATCTATGCAAACCCCATTAGACAACCTACTTTATCTAATTGAACATCTACTAAATATTACATCCCAAACTTAACAATCTATCAAGTTTGGTCCATTGCATTATAAGCATTTTGGATAGCATGATAAATAGCCAACATGCACATTTCGAATTAGTGCTTGATTTATTGAATTAAGTATGTAAAAAACAGGATAAGTTAAATCATTTGATGTGTAAGGTAAGATTAGATAAAATGTTTTAATTTCGAATTAAATTGAATCACACAACCCTTCTGAAAATTATAAAGGATCTTATGTTGTATATCTAACTTAAAAGACATTATTATCATAAAGGATTTCTATGGCGTCATCTATCCATAAAGATGTGAAATAGACATCAAATAGCAATAATTTATACACATGAGGTGCTTAAGGGCTTAATGTAGTTGTATTTTAAATGACAGACATTTATAAGTTATCTAAAACGATTGCAGTTTATGGTGAACTTGAACAATTTACAAATTTGGCTGGACTATTTGTTAAAAAGTTTTTGAAACCATAAATGCAATTAATATTAGTACAATAAATATTCTTAGCTTCGTAAACTCCATTATAGATATTAATCCATTAAGAATTAAGCTAACAATACATCTTTGTTAGACATAAGAGAAAAAGGAAAATCATAATTAATTTATCCATGAAAAATATTATTAATACTAATCTTTAATAATGTTCATGTTGTAATTATATTAATTGCTCATAAAACACTTTGTTTAGTATAAATTTTCAAACATAATAAATTTTCTATGTTTTTGTAATTAACTGAAATGAAATATTTTTTTTTTTAATTGCTTATTTCCTATCTTAGTTCATTCCCTGAATAGTTTTAGAACAAAAGATTTTATGTTTAAAAATTAGAATGAAATATTTATAATAATTTTACATATTTTAATATGATGATTAAAAAAATGAATACAAAACATTCAAGTTTAGGTTCAATCTTTATAGCAAAGGCTACTTATCATTAAATTTTGAATCAATTATTCTATATCAAGTATTCTTTTTTATTATAAGTATGTCTAATTGATTGAGCATTCAATATATAGAATAATATTAAATAATTTAATTGATGTATTAATAGTTATTCTATTGTATAAATTAAATTTTATTCACCAATTTTCACCTAATCATAATATGCATAATCTATATTTTTATTAATAAATGGTCGTATGAAAAGAAAATTATATATATAGATGGAGAAGAAAATAAAGTTAATAAACTTTTAGAAAAATAGTTTAATATATTTCTTACTATTTTATAAATTCGAAGCTATTTTCTAATATTTATGTTTATGCTAATTAACATATTTATATATATTTTCGAAATGGGAGATATGAATTCAATTTATTTTATCAATATTTTTATTATAAAAATTGATATATTTATTAATATAATATTTTATATCAAATTATCTCTATTATCATTATATTTAAGTTAAATCTAATAAATTAAGATATTAGTCTATTCTATGGTAGTGTAATTTCTTTTTTAGAATTAATAAATTAAATAATGTTTCTTTAATGTAAATGAATAAAATATATATCACTATATACAAATAATTTTATATTTGTCTTATCATATAAAGATGAGACTTTCTGAAGATTTTCTAGACCATCCACATTCATTTCCAGTCATTAAAAAATTTTAATTTTTGTATGAATTAGTAAATAATGAGTTTCTGAGAGTTTTCCTTCTATTTAAATCACTATATTAAGGTTTTTTGCTTTGTATTGAACCTTAAAACCTTAAACTTTAAAGTGGTGACTTTACAGAAAATATGATTTTTTAAATCATCAAGGCTTTGTCTTCATTATCTGAAGTTGATGTATTTACATGAGAATTATAATTAGATTATTTTCTTGAATCAGATGACGACAATTTAAAGTAATTACTAAATTTAATTGGTTCTCTGTTCTCAGATTTGTACTATAACTTAAATTTCTGACTTCTCATTGTTTTTATTCTTCTACTTTGTTCAGTTTGCATTCTCTAACAACTTAAATTGTTAATGGACATTTAATTAGACATTACTTGTGAAGTTGAGTTTATTCTTATTTTTTATCTTGGGCAGTAAATAGATATCAGTGTTGCATTTTTGTTTTTATTACCTTACATCTATCTTTATATTTAATTTATATTAATTATTGTAAGAATCAAATTAGATAAACATTTCCTGAAAATGGTTTTCAGTAATATTTAAATCACGTCATCAATATTATATTAATATTTTTATAAAAAGATTCATTTATATTACATTATAAGCTTGTGCATTTATTAAACAATATACATTGTGTATTTTTTTAGATTAAATTATTTTCTTTTTAACAAAATATAAATCTAACTTAATATTGCAAAAAATCTATCTATTTGAATGAGGCTTGGTTTATTAGCATTTTTCGATCGAATAATCTATAATTTCATCCTAATCTCAATTCTTTTTACATTTAGTTTTTATGAAAGTAATTTTTCTAAAAATTTGTTTAGTTATGTTCAAAGTATATATTTTTATATTCCTTCAATATTTGCAGTTGAATAGCATTATAGATTATTTATCATAATCATTTTATTATAAACAATTAATTTCTACTTTAATACTTTCCATATTGAAATCCATTTATATCAAAGTTAGAACTTAATTAATCATCCTTATTACTTTATGGACATACTTTTGACCAATATTCATAATATAATTTTTAATTATAAAAAATTCTTTTTATTTAGATTGATTTCATATTATTGAGAAATTATTTTTCATTTCATATAGTTTTTTTATTTATTATTATTTATGGGGTACTGGTAATTAAGTATTTAAGCAAAAATTATATAATATTTCAATATCTAATTCATGCTTAATATTCTAAATTGTTTTAATAATTATTGATTATTGAATGATATTTAAATATTATTAATTTTATAGAAATGTTTGCTTAGAATTTTAATTTATTTCAAACTATGAATAATTATTTAAAATCTAGTAATACAAACATTTATTGAAATATTATTGTGTTCTAATATTCAATAATTTGTAGTAATAAATTTATTAAGATCCTTATAATAATGATCTTTGGAGCATAAAATTAATATTTAGAATAAAAATTTAATTTTTATGCAGTTAAATGAAAATGAAGAAAAAATCATAAAAGACTTATTCAAAAAAGTATGATCTCATTCATTAAATTAAAGGTTACTTTATATTATAAAGATTATATGTCTATGCCAGATGATGGTGATTTTCCTAATCAAAACTGTGTAGATGATATTGCAGCATCATTTAGAATAATTTGTTAAATAGTTGAATCATTTTTGATAGGTTATAAATAATTATAACATCAGCATGTTTTATTAGAATAAAAATTAGTTGAAGCTGAATAAGAAATTAGAAATCATATAAGAGTAAATCTTAATATTATAAAAGATTTAACAAGAAATAAAGGTTTGGGGAGATTCTTTACAGGATGAGATCATATCTTTAAAATAGGACTTAAAACGATAGAAAGTAAAAGTGTTGGTAAAAAACAAATTTAATGAATTCTTAAGACTCTTGAAAGAGATTTAAGTTTATAGAAAAATTATAAAAATGCATGTACAAGTTAAGAAAGATTACCAACAGAAACAACGTAAGATAGGCAAGAAAAAATGTTGAGTTTGTTATCTTCTCAAAAATCAAGATAAATATAAGGTTAAGGATATAAAAAGAAAAATATGAAACTTTAATATTTTGAAGATAAATAGTAAATTATATTTAATATAATAAGAAATAAGTCCTTTACATAACTTGCCTAATAGTTCTTAAATTCATCATTATCTAAAACATTAAGATCTGGAATAGTCACTTAGAAAAAGAAAAAAGCCACAACTAAATAATGTAAAACAAACTAAGTTAATCTAAAAATTAAAAATTAAAGGTGTCATTCTTAATAAGAAAGAGCCAAAACATTAAATGATTAATCGTTTTACTATTGAAATAAGAGTTATTATATTAAAATAAAATACTTGTTTTTTTAAATGAAACTTTTTCATACAACTTTGAACCCATTAAACTTGATATCTTTTAATTGTTTTGATTTAAAAATTGACATAGAATGACAGAGTTTCAAGAGTGTAAACAATAAACATTAAAAAATCTATGACGTTGTTATGGAATGATAAAATAATGAACTTATCCTTGCTGAGGCAGTAGTATGTAATATTCATTAGGTCTATTAAACTATATTAAGAGAAAAAAAAATATTTCATGAATTAATATAGAATTTGAGTTTTATATATATCATTTTATAGAGCTCTATTAAAAATTCATGATTTCTAAATTGAGAAATTAATATTCTAAAATTTGAAAATACTTAGTATTTAAAGTTTGAGATCTTCTTTAAAATATTTCAAAAAAATTTAAATAATTTTCTTATCCCCCAAAGTTGATAATTTTAATAATAAAGTATTTTATTTATTATTTGATACAATTAAAGAAAGGTCTTAAAACTGGTAAACATACTTTATGATTCTTAAATCTCACAAAAAAAAAAGTGATATTTCAAATTTCCATATATAGATACATCAAAATGTAAATGGTTAAAATTTTGTACAATAATAATTAATTAATATTTATCAGAAATTATTTATATGATAGATTCTTAAACTTAATAGAGATTTAGGGATATTTAATATAATAAAATAGATGTTTAACCTATTAATCATACTACAATAAATGATTTAATTGGAACCTTAAATAATAATGTATTTGATGAAAAATTCTAATAAAAATACTCAAATTATTTGAAAGAAAGAGTATTTTTATTCAAAGTGATTTATGATGGTTAAGGTTGGGAAATAAGAAGAACAATAGGATAATTTTAACAATTAGAAAAGGATATGGCGAATAATATATTTTATTTCATTTTCCATAAAAAGAAAATTACAAGTAGTTTAGAAAGGGACGATCCAAAAAAAACATTAGTTTTACTTCATAAATTCTTAAAGATGATAACAAGCAATGAAATTATTCCATAATGTGTATTAACATTTTTAGAGATTTCTTGTATCAATTTGCCATTCAAAATGAAAGAAGGCTTTATGGAAAAGAAATCTGGTGGTAGATCAACTAGAACATGTTGTTAGTCATTAGAAACAAACCTTGCAAAATGGGACAAGAGGTATTTTATAATAACTTAATAATCCCTTCTCTACTTATAAGGACCTGAAAAAGAAAGATGTTAAATTAGAGAATGTCTAAGTTTTGACAATGATTTCAGTTTTTTGTATGGAAAAAAGGAGACAGGAGATGATAATAAAATAATAATATCCTTTTCATAAAGGAAATTAATCTTGAGAGCTGAAAATTTGACAGCTTACATAGACTTTATCTATTCTTTATTTAAATCGATAAAGGAAAGTCCATATACAAAGTTGCATAGATTTGGATCATTTTCTCCTATAAGAACTTCAGATTGTAAATGGTATATTGATGGAGATTAATATTTTGAAGATGTTTGTGATGCAATCTTGTAAGCTAAAGAAACTATATATATTACTGATTGGTGGTTGAGTCCAGAAATGTATTTAAAGAGACCTGTTGACGTTAGGAAATATGCTTAATCGAGTGAATTTCTTTATACTAGACTTGATAATGTATTGAAATTAGCAGCTGATAAAGGAGTTAAAGTATTAGTATTATTGTACAATGCTTTACTATCATTTTTATATAATGATCCAAAACATTCAAAAATGCAATTAGAAAGTATGTCTCCAAATATTAGGGTATTAAAACATCCATCTCAAGCAATACCAAAATTATTTTCTCATCATGAAAAAATGGTTGTTATAGATTAAAAAATTGGATTTATGGGTGGTTTAGATTTATGTTTTGGAAGATGGGATAATTAAAAACATCTTTTATTTGATGTTCATCCTTTTGAATAATTATGGCCTTAAATTGATTTTTCAAATTCTAGAGTTAGAGATTTCTATGATGTAAGAAATTACGAATAAACACTTTTAAAAGAAAATGAACCAAGAATGCCTTGGCATGATATAGCTATTTGTAATTATTTATTATATTTTTATAGAAATTAAAGGAGATTCAGTTATTGATTTATCAAGACATTTTGTTTAATATTGGAATCATGTAATGATGACTAAATAAAAGAAGAAAAAGTAGGAATTAATACATGCTAATGATTTAAAAATGGAAGGATTTGTACCTACGGATACTTCAAGTGTTATTGATTATTCAAATGTTGTTTATGCTGGAAGAAAAGAGTCTTTAATTTAAATGAAGCAACCGATTCTTTTAGATTAAATAAAAACGAATGAAGTTTAAATAGAAATGAATTAAACAATTTAAAAAGATTATGATGAAAATTAACGCTAATCTAATGCATAGCTATTTATTCAATAGCAATATAAAGATTTTTATAATTAATAGATGTAAGAAAAAGAATTAACACCAACAGTAGATGATGATGATGAAGAATAAAACTATTATATTTTAGAAAGTAAATTAATTAATTAAGATAAATGGAAAAGTAAAATTAAAGCTGAAAAATGTGATTCAAAAATTTTAAAGAATTCTGGAATGTAAACCAAAATGAATTTAGAATTTTTCATTCCTCATCTAGAGATGAATTAAAATTAATGTATTTTTTCCATCTTCCTTTATAGAAAGTTGCATTACATAATTAACAAGATCATCTGGTACATGGTCAACTGGTATTAAATAAACTGAGAAATCTATTTAAAATGCTTATGTCTCACTTATTAAAAATGCTTAACATTTTATTTATATTGAAAATCAATTCTTTATTAGTAATACAGCTGGTTATCCTGTTAAAAATTTAGTGGCTAATGCTCTAATATCTAGAATTAAAGAAGCACATGAAAAGTAATAGAGATTTAAAGTTATTGTCTTTGTTCCATTATTACCAGGTTTTGAAGGTGAAATTGATTAATCAAATTCTGCTGTTCTTAAAGTTTAATTACATTTTGAATATCAAACCATAAGTAGAGGAGGCAAATCTATAATAGAAACCTTAAAATAAGATGGAATCAAACCAGAAAATTACATTTAATTCTTCGGTCTTAGGTAACATGAATTATCTCCAGAACCAAATTCAATACCTGTGACTGAAATTATTTATATTCATTCAAAATTAATCATAGTTGATGATGAAATTGCATTAATAGGATCTGCAAATATTAATGATAGAAGTTTATTAGGAAAAAGAGATTCAGAACTTGCAATTATTGTTTAAGATTAAATAAAAGTTGATTCTATAATGAATGGTATACCATATAAAGCATCTAAATTTGCACATACTCTTCGTACTGCACTTTATATGGAACATTTTAATATGAAATATGAATAAGTTATTGATCCCTTGAGTTTATAATTTGAAAAGGAATCAACTGCATAAGCTAATATTAATACAAGAATTTATAAATAAATTTTTGCTTGTTATCCTCATGATGATATTAAGAAAGTATCTGATTATGAAGAAGTATTTAATTATATAATTAATTTTAGTTTAAAGCAAAAAAACACTTAGATGAATATGATTAATTAAAGTAGTTTATTAAAGGTCATGCAGTAACTTTCCCATTATAATTTTTATGTGAAGAAAATTTAAATATTAAAGTTTCATAAAAAGAATACTTAGTTCCTGAAATAAGTTTCACATGACATTTTTTAATAATCGTTAATTTATTTTAAAATTATATACATTAATCAAAAATATATTGAAAAATGGATAAAATTTAAATATATCCTCATTAAAAATTGGAATCATTTAAAGTACTTTATTATATCTATATTTGTTTTATATGTCTTATTCTTTAACAATTATATGTAAAATATAGAATTAAGATATTTTTTAATTAAAAAATACAATTAATCATGATGATATTGTTTTTGTCTTGAAATAATGTTAATAATTTATGATATATTTAGGATATTAATTTTGAGAAAAGAAAAAGTTTTATAAAATGATGTTATTGAATTATAATTATATTTATAATTCAATAATAATTTATGTTTGATAGATTCGGACTTTTAGAGCCATATCGATCTTAATCTGAAATCATGAGGATCAATGATCATTCAATTTGGCTTGGTGATTATTCAGCTGCATTAGATATTGTTAATTTAAAAGTTAATAATATAAAAAGTGTATTGTCAATTATTCATTCTATGGATGTTAAATATACAGATATCAATCATAAAATCATATATATAAAAGATAAACCAGATATTGATATATTCTAATACTTTGATGTTACAAATGAATTTATTGAATCAGCTTTATAATAAGGTTCATTATTAGTTCATTGTTCAATGGGAATTAGTCGTTCACCTGCAATTGTTATAGCATATATTATGATGAAATTTAAATATCCTTTTTCTAAAGCTTATCATATAGTTAGAAAGAAGAGACCAATAATTTGTCCAAATTTTGGATTTTCATTTTAACTAAAATAATATGAAAGGATTTGTATATAACCTAAAATAATGCCAGAAGTTGTTTATAAAGAATTTAAATGTCCTCCTATTTAATAAGTGAGAAGTATAAGTTTAAGAAAGTCTCCATAATAATAGTTTATTAATAGTTAAGCTTAGAGTGAAAGATAATAAAATAATACAAATACTTCTCTAAGTGCAAGTTCAGAAAGGAAAACAATACATTAGAAAAGAAAATAAAAAGAAAAGAAATTACCTTAACTTCAACCTTAAATTAATTTTGGTTCTTACAATACAATTAAAGAATTTGCAGAGAAATTAAAAGCTTCAAGATTAATTCAAATAAAATACAATTGATATTTATTATATATCTTATTACTAATAAAAAATACTAAAATTTACTTAATTATATATAGAATATATATTTTTTATTATTAAAGAAAGAATAGAATAATGATGAATAGTTAGTTACATAAATTTAATCATATTCAGTAACAAATAATTGATTGTTTTATTAATTGCTGAATTATTCATCTTCTTTGTCTATTTTTTTTAAACAAATTTGATATGCATTTGCAATATCTTTAACAACAACTAATAGGTTAACGAAATGATCTTCTTAATCCACTGAATTTCAGAATATGATCTAATCCTTACTATGCCCAATCCCGAATATCGAATTCATAAATATCAATTTCGAAATTAAATTAAAGACATTGTAAAACATTTGATAAAAATCTTAAACTAGATGAATAAATTAAATCATAATGTTGTTATTCTAGATGCTATTAAATAACTAAATAAAGATACCTTAATGTCTCTATATACAGTCTCACTGAAATATTCAGCATCAGTCTAATATAGTTCTTCAAAGTTGGATGCTTCAAAGTCGACTTATTTTATTAAGTATAAAAGGTCTTTTAATTGATCAACCATCTATTAGAACAATTCTTCAAACTTCTTCAGCAATTCTATCTTCTCATTTAATGGAGACAAACCCTTAATTAACTAAAAACAAACCTGCTAATATTTCAATTAAATGCATGTTATAGTACACTTCTAAATGATTCAAGTAATAAGATTTTCCTTTTTATATCGAATTTGTAATAGATTGAGAAACACTGTTATTAAAGGATGATCTGCTCTTTCCTAAACTTCTTGTAAACCTATTATTTGTAGATGCAGGCTCAGTAGCTTCTTATCCAGATTTTTAGCGACTATCTAATCCTTAATAATGATGAATGCGATTCATTTAATTATTATTTTATGATATTTTGTATGTTCTAAGCAAAAATAAAACAACATTTTAATGAGAACTATAAGAAATTACTAAATTAATACACTCTCAAATAGTTAATACTGGAGAAGTAAAATTTCAATAATGATATTCCACTCAAAATTTAAATTATAAGAACTTTAATGTTATTCTAGGACAAAAGAATTTTTAATAATATTAAGAAAGACTTACTTTATGATAAATATTTGCAATATTATATATAATGAGTTTATTACTATAATAAAAGATTATTATTAGTATATCATATTAGAAAATTTATAAATATTCTTTTCTCATTCAATAATTATTAATTTAGATAATAGTACATGAGCGATTTATGCATAATATGATGATTTTCAAATGTTTTTACAAAAAATATGAAAAAAAATCATTTATATTATTATATATTATCAAATATTTGTCATCTTACTATTACTAAATATTCATTCTCTTAATCATAATAATATTTTTACTAATTATAAGAACGTTATTAGATTATTAAGAAATTTTAAAGATAAATTTGTAATTTGATTATTCTATATACATAGAGTTTAGTCATTAAATTATTTATAATTAACTGGAAGATGTATTTCTAGTCCAACAATTTAAAGAGTTTTTCGATGGACTATGTAGTTAACTCTTTTCTATATTAGGCAATCTAATATTAATTTTTTTATGCTCTTTTGGTTATTATTCATTACCACTTGAGAATTGACAAATAGATTTTGTAGGTAATCTCTTTGATTATGAATATTTCCTTTGAGTAACTTTTACACTCATCGAAGAAGGTTAAATTATTCTTAAACAAGAATTGTAATCTAATAAATCAGGTATTCTTTGATATTTATTACTTTTTGATTATTTAGCCTTTTTTACTCTCATTTTTTAAACTTATATATTATAATAGATTGATGATTTGTTATCATAGTTGATAGTTGGAGTTAGCTTTATTTCTTTTTTAATGTTGTAATATTTATTTTTTTGAGAGACTATGTGAATAGGCTCAAAATATAGCAAGTCTTAAAACTTGTTATTTATTTCAATATTATAAAATAAAGAGGTATGTAAAGAAGGATCTAAACTATATTAAGCAGTGCTCATTATGTAAATTTAGTTAAATATATTTATATAGATAAAGTCAATAATAATTAAATTATTTCATTCATAGACTTATAAGATTAATCAGAATGATAACTAATTAAAGAGATAGTAATTTGAATAACTTAACATCCAAATTTATTATATCAAAGATTATTAACTTACATTTGAGTTTTGATAAATTTAAGTTTCTTGAAATACTGTATATATTAAATTTATAATAATTAATATATGAAACACGATTTTATTAAGGAAAGGGATTTCAAAATAATAGAGAAAATTGGGGAAGGTGCCTTTGGTTAAGTATATAAGGGCTTATATTAAGGAGAAGAAGTTGCAATAAAAGTAAAAAATTGTGAAATGCATAGTCTATGTAAGGTGCATAATTATAGGAAACATCAATAATGGAGAATCTTAAACACAAAAACATTATTAAATTTTATAAGGTAGAATTTGTTATGAATTTATATAGTATTTTAAATAGGGAAATAATTAATACTTAGTAATGGAATATGCTAGTGGTGGTTCTTTGAGTGATTACATGAAATAAAATTTAGATGAAGAAACAATAAGCAAAATAATGAAATCTATATTTGCAGCAATAGAATATCTTCATTCTCAATAGATTATTCATAGAGATATTAAACCAGGTAATATTTTGAATACTAAACATAATTAGATAATATCTTAATATAAAATAGTGAAGATCTTTCAAGTGTTAAGATTGCTGACTTTGGTTTAAGTTATTAGTATATGCCAGAAATTCGATATTATTAAACAGTTTCGTAATAATGTGGTACATTTATATTTATGGCACCTGAATAAATATTAAATAAAGCATACAATAAAGCAGTTGATATGTGGTCATGTGGTGTTGTCTTATATATGTTATTAAATCAAGGTAAACATCCATTTTATCCTCGAATTTCTACCAAAAAAGAATTTATCAATAGTTTTCCAGATCTAAAATATGAATAACCTTTACATGCATCATTATTGGCAAGAGATCTTCTATAAAGATTATTATAATATGATAAGGATTCTCGATATACAGCAGCATAAGCATTAGTACATCCATGGATCACTCGAAATTTTAATCAGTCAATTCCAATGAGTGTAAAAGAATTTGGCATTTGTCAAGAATAAAAAAAGAAAGTATAAATTTTTATTATTATTAGTTTTTTCAATTCTTAAAAGCTATATTATTTTTAAATCAAATTTAATAGGATTCAATAAAGTAATCTCCTATTCAATCTAAAACTGATTTAGGAGATTTTAAAATATCAATAGTTGAATTTGATGAAGACAACTATGAATAAGAATATTAAGATACAAATAGTCCTAAAAATCAGTTATTCTTAAATAAATTATCTATTCAAAGACCAAATAAAATATTAAAATCTTATCGCACTCTCAATAATATTCCTTATAAAAGTAAACATTATCAATTAAATTCAATTCTTAATTAAACAAATGAGTCACCTATAAGAGATTTAAAAAAACTTAAATTTTAACAGTAATTTAGCATTGATAATGAATAAATGATAATTCCAATAGATCCAGAGTCTCCTAAAAAATATCTAAGAGGTACCTAATCAAACAAATTTCTTTTACCTGCATTAACAGAATCAACATAAGTTTCTCTCAGTCCTATAAAACTAAAATAAAAACCACATATTAAATAAAACTCTTTTAGAAAATCAGAAACTTCTTTTTTTATGGGTTAAAATAGATTGAATAATGATTCTGCCTTAGAGACAGGAACATTTAGAAATAGAGTTGAAACTTATGACAGAACTTAAATACCTGTTATAAACACTTAAAGGTTTTATGGAAGAAATACATTTACAAATTTAGTGACATCTCCAAAGAATAGCATTGCTACATCAACCAATCTTCTTATTCCAAAGAAAATAATATGATAAAAGTTAAATATGAATAAATCAAATCAAACTTAAATTTCTTATTTTTAATATGTATATGTTTTAAATATAAATTTTATTATTTTAATCCACAAATCTAAATATTAATCTTAACTAAACTTATTATTTTTAATAATTTATACATCATTCTAATTCAATATATCTTTTTTAATATATAAAATTACTTTAGATTTTCTTGAGTAATCTAAATTTGTGAATGCATATTTATTTAAAAATTTCTTAAAAATTTAAATTTAACAATAAATTAGTGATATAAATTAAATATTATCTTCATATAAAAAAAATAAATTAATAACTAATCAACACAATAAATTTTAAATTATAAAATAGAATTAATTTATTTAATATATATCGTTAAAATTTATAGATTTAATTAGATTTCTTATTTTAATTACTATTTAAGAAGATAAATTTCGAAATTAAAAAATTAAACTAATTTGATTAGGGTTTAAAGTACTTAGTAACATATTTTTTTATTATGTGAAAAATGTTCAATTTATATATTATATCAAACGGAGTTTCATTGTTCTAATTCATCCTACTATTAGAGTTCTTATTGTTAATCATCTGATAAATTAATTTCTTATCTTTTTTTTCTCTCTTATAAATCTATTATTATTATAAAAATTATACCCTAATTGCTTATTAATTGAGATTATGTTAATAATTATTATTATAAATCTTCTATTAGTTGATCTTTTTTCAAAGAATCTTCTAAATTTTCACTATTAATTTTTTTCAATTCATCATTCTCTTACAATATTTAATTCATTTTCTAATAATAGTCTTATTGTTAAATTTAATCTAATTTTTCTTGTAATTGTTAAATAGTTTAATTTAATTATAATATTTCTTATTCATAAAGTTAACCATTTTAAGAACTTTCTTAAAATTAATCTTTATGGTTTTAATTATGAGATAGTCTTTATTATAATGATTGAACCATTTAATATTATTATTATAAAAAAGAATCTTTTTCTTCTATTTCTTAATTTAATTCATTAATTTTTTGAAGTGCCTCACTTAATCTATTATAAGCCTCTAGAAATGATTAATAATTAGATACCTGTATAGTACATAGTAAGATCATCATATTTTTTTCTTAACTCTGATAAATTATTTAATTCTTATTTTAAATTTCTTTCATTTTCTTCATATTCTCCTATTTCTTCAGCCAATTATGATAAATTTTTCTTCCATTCTTTAAGAAATTAAGTTTAATTTATTTCTTTTTCTTAATCATCTTCATCTTCATCTTCATCTTCATTTTTTGATTTTTTAGATTATTTGTATATTTTTCTTAATTCTTATAAAAACATTTGTTAACTTTTAATTAGATCTTTATTTTTTCCTCTTTCTTCATTTAATTAATTTTATACTATATAAATATTTATAATTTTTACATTCATTTTTCTCATCATTTTAATTTGTATTTTATTCATGTTGTATAAGTCCATTTTTAATTTATTCTTTTTAATTTTCTTCAATATGTTCTATCATCATTGTTGTATCATTGGAATTTGAATATGTTTTTTATAATTAAGATAATTATTAAGATAATTCATAAATGCTTTTGTTATTTTATAAATTTTAATTTTTTAATTCTTGAATTTAATTTAGAATAAGTTAACACTTTTATTTAATTTCTTTAGGAAGTTCATTTTTTAATTAACTATTATTATTTAAGGTTTATTATTATTATAATTGAGAATCTTCATTATCTTAATCATTCAAATTATTATTCTATATTAAATCAATCTTAAAATATATATAATATTAAATACCTATTATCCTTATTATTTATTTTATGTAGGAACTACTTTTGATATTATTCTTTTTTATTCATCAATTAATTATAATTCATCTTTATTTTGATTTTAAGTATTTTTAAATTATATATCTAAACCATTTCTTTATTAATCATCAGCTTATAGTATTTTCTATTAAATATTACTATTTGGTGGAGTTTTTTCAAGCTCTTTAATTTTCTTTTGTTTTTTTTCAGTTTCTTAATTTTAATGAAATTCAGATGATTATATACCAATTTTATTAGTCTACTCCTTTTCATTCTATTATTTAAATTCTTATTTTTTTTTGCCCACCTAATAAATAAATGTTTAATTTACATAATCTCTTTAAAATAATTAATAATAATGACCAGAACCTTGTGGAACTCTTGTTAAATTTTAATTTTTTCCTTTTTCTAATAAATTTAATTTAGTTTCTAGTTCTTTTAATTTTTTTTTCTAGACTTAGTTTTGAGTAACCATTGTATCATATTTACTTTACAATTTTAGAATTATATGATCGTACATTTTTTTAATTTCATTAAGCAGGTTTTCTGGTATTGAATTCAATTCTTACATTGTCTTAGAGATAAATGAATAATTTTTTATTAAATAATTAAATTTTATTTACATTTTTTATTTAATATTAAATGTCCTTCTATTATGATAGAATTTGGTTTAATTTTATGAAAATTAAAGAAAGTCATACATGTATTATCATAAACATTTTTTGTAAATTATATATTTGTCAAAGGAATTAATCTCATATCTTTAATCAAAACCTGATATTGTTTTATTAACAAAGTTGTCTTGGTTTCTTTCTTACTCTAATAATTAACATTTCAAAGTGATCATTATATTTGAATTTATTGACTAATTAAGATCACAAATATATAGAGGTTATATATTTATGTTGTAGTTCTATTTGAAATATGTCTAAGCCATAATAGGGATTAAAGATGAGTCATCTACATCTTGGATAGGCATTTTATCATCAATAAGAAAAATCTAGTTTTTACTATTAATTAAATAATATTGCAAAATAATCTTATGAGATGCATAATTTGGTAATCTAGATGGTTCCTTTTATAACCATAAACTAAATAATAAATATTCTTAAGTGCAATGATGCATTTAAAATCCTAAATCTGAAATTAATTATGATAAATTCAATTGATGTTTATCTAATCTTAACCAGATTGCATTCAAATTTTTATTAATGCTATCTTATAATATTTGTTCTAATTTCTATTATAATAATGATTGGTTGACCAAATATTTATCCAAACTTTAAGGGTTTATGTGAAGACAATCATAATTATCAACTTTTTGGATTAATGAAAAATAATACTTTTTTGTAATTCTTTACATAATAATAAATATATTTAATACATATATTATATAATAAGTGTTTGTTACATTTTAATATATATATTGCAATTTTTAATCGATTTCTTCTATGTTCTGACATTCTAAACATATTAATAAAACTTTATTTTAATGAAAATGAAAGCAATTTCATTAGTAATTTAATGTTTGAATTAAAAGCATTTTACTCTTTTTAAATGTCTTAATTTAATTAATATTATTCATCTATCTAATTAAATAGAACAATATTATGAAGAAAATAAAAAAAAAAAACATAATTAATTTTAATAGAATTCTAAGTCATAAATATGAATATAGAGAACAATTAAGCTTTCATCAGTGATTATATAATAGATTTAACTAAAAAAATTGGTGAAGGATAATGTGGAAAGATCTTTGATTGCATATCAAAAAAAAATAATACCTTAAAATTATGTGCTAAAGTAAAAATATTTTACCATTTAAGATAATAAACATTAATATTAAAAATGAAAAATTTTGTTTAAGAGAAAAAGATATCTCTGAAAGAATTAAAAATAATTAAGACAATCCTAATTTGGTTTCTGTTTTTCATGTTGAATTTATTCCAGATTAAAAATTATTTATTATAATTATGGAAAAATGTGATTCAAATTTACATGTATATTGGGAATAAAAAAAGAAATTTAACGATAACGAAATCAGATAATTTATACTTCAATTTCTTCATGGTTATGAAGTTCTTTATTCACAAAATATCATTCATAAAGATATCAAACCTGAAAATATATTAATTAAATATTAAAATGGAAACATTATTTTTAAAATTGGAGATTTTGGATTGGCAAAGGTTTACAAAAATAATTAAATCGAATATGATGTTAGTAGAAATGGAACTCCTGCTTATGCTGCCCCAGAGGTGAGTACAATTATGGTTGATTAAGAAGTACATCAATAATTAATGGAAATCAAAAATATTATGCATGCCAAAAGTTAGATTGACATATATTCGGTAACATAATTATATTAATAAAAAGCTTGGGATAATATTATATTAGATGATTTTTGGAAAATTTCCTTTTTAATTATCTATTAGTTCTATTAAGGATTTTTTTTTTAATATTAAGAAAAATCCTCTAAAAATAACAGATAAATGTTCAATTTACGTATAATTAGTTGAAAAAATGCTTATATATAATCCTAATGAGAGATTATCCTTTTAATACTTATATAATAATTTCAATTAGAATATTTAAAATTAATAACACAATTTTTAGAATATTACTTTTTTCAAATTCACAGAATAGGATAAGTTTTAAAATATATAAAATAATAAAAGTTAAATGGGGATAAAAATATTACCACATTCTTTTATTATTGACAATAGTAAAAATAAAGAATAATAAATTCATTAATAAAAATAATACACTCGAAACCATTCAATTTAAACTCCAAACCATTAAAATTAAAATCAAACTTTTTAATTCTAAAATGCAAACCATTAATTCTAAAATTTTTAATAAAATATTAAAGTTATTCAACCTCAAATTTCTTCACCTCTGACGTTCTCTTATGTGAATCCTCATTAATAAATAAAAGATTTCCTTAATTATTTAATGTAAATTTATTTAACTAAAATAGATGTGATTTATAAAATATTATGAATGATTCATTAAAATAATTAATTAATAATGTAAACTTGTAAGTATATATCAATGATTTTACAATTAAATAACTTTAAAATCAATTTCCTTTTGAGATTTAAAAATTAGAGAAATATAAGCCAGATACATTGAAATTTTAATATTCTCTTATATGTTTAATAAGGAATCCCTAATGTAAATAAATTAATATTTCAAATTTAATTGAAATTAAGAATAATCTAACATAATATTATGTGAACCGAAATTGAACAATTATTATATTTGATTTTAATTTATAATATTCATATATTAAATAATTCCTAATAGATTCTAAAATTATAAAGAAATTCTATTCAAATACCAAAGCTATCTAAAAAACAATATTAGATTATAAATATTATATTATATTTTCATAAATAAAATAGTATTGTACGAGAGAAGAGAAGAAAGAATTAACAAAAATGATTGAGGTTCATCGATAGGTTTTTAAAGATTTTCAAGAACATTAAAAGGTAATTTAAATCATTGAAGAAGATTTGCATCTTAAAACATTTTTCAGGTTTTCAGGAGTTCTATAATTTCTTAAAATTGATTATGAATTTGGATAAAGCAGACATAAAAATGTCAAATTTCACATTTATTTGCTGATAATTATAAATAATTTCATATAATAGGATATCTATTATCTAAAAAAATTATTTTACATTTTCTACTTTTTTTATTATTTATTTATTATTCAATAATGTAAAGAGTTTTTTAATAAATGGGAAGAATTGCAATTCCTCATCCCAGACTGATGTCATCATCAAACTTATATTCACCATCAGTCTATTTATAGGCTTTGCGTATTTAGAGATAATAGATTCCTCAAAGTTAGATTTTTGCATCACTTACAAGAGATACTATAATTAATCATTACTGTGAATAATCAATTGCAGTTTTAGATTGTTTGAGTAAGAAAAAGAAAAGAGCTAGAAAGAAGTAAATTAGAAGAAAGGGCAATAAAATTATCAATGCCAGAAATAGATGAGCTATCATATTAATATTACATATATAAATATTTAAATGGGTTAATGTAAATGTGCTACATAATGTTGTTAAAAGGATGAATTAACATCATAAAAAATATCTACTAGATCCATTTAAGTTTCCATCAAACATCACAAATTATAGAAGGATTAGACTTCTGATAAAATTGATGCCCTTATTTAAGATGACTTAGACTCATCCATTATGAAAAATTCAATGAATAGCAAAGTCTCCATTCAATAAATTTCTAAAAATTTAGTTTCAACCCAATAACCAATACCCTAATAAGTTATTGATACTATTTAAACTAATGAACGTAAATTACTTCCAGTATTATTCTTATTTAATTAGATTATGTTAATGCCAAATGGAACCAAATATGAAGGATAATGGCTCAATGGTATGAGAGATGGCTATGGAAAGTAAATATGGCCAGATGGATCAATTTATGAAGGTTAATGGAAACAAGATAAATCAAATGGATAAGTAAGTCAAATTTAATATGAAGGGAAAATTGATTCATGCTGACGGAGACATCTATGATGGAGAATGGGTTGATGATGCAGCTTGTGGTAAAGGAACTTATGTACATTTTAATGGAGCCAGATATGAAGGTGAATGGCTTAACGATAATTAACATGGATATGGTATTGAAGTATGGCCTGATGGAGCAAAGTATGAAGGTCAGTATTAATATGGTAAAAAGAATGGAAAAGGATAATTAACCTTTGTTGATTGTGCTTGTTATGAAGGTAAATTTAATTATATATAAATTAGGTAATTTCATTGACAATGAAATTTCTGGTTTTGGTGTTTATAAATGGACAGATGGAAGGGAATATGTTGGTTATTGGTTAGATAACAAAATGCATGGAGAAGGCACTCTAAAATGGCCAGATGGAAAATGTTACAAAGGAGTATCTTAATTAATTATTTAAGAATTATTAATAAGATAAAAAATAAGGCAGAGGTGTGTTCTATTTTGGTGATGGTAGAAAATATGCAGGTACTTGGATTAATGGTAAATAATGTGGTATTGGATTGTATTATCAGAATCAAAGTTAATATAAAATAGGTGTATGGCATAATGGATAAAGAACTAAATGGCTTAAAGATGAAGAAGTAGAAAGTCATAAAGATCAAATTGCTCAGCTCTTATAATTATGATTTTTATAACTTGATTTAATATTTTTATTATAATATAACAGTCATGTAAAAGCAATTTCAATCCTCTGTTACTTCTTTAGGATAAATAGCATAATAATAAGAATTATAGAATCCAATGGTTGAATCGAAAATGACATCTACTATATTTAATGTGCCCAGAATTCTTGATAATTATAATGAATTCAATTCTCATAACATTCCAAAAGTATAAGTTAATTTAATTAGATCAATTGTTTCTATCATCAAGGTTATACTTATTCAAACTTTTGTTAACTTGAAGGATGTTGTTTTCCATTATGTCCTGAATGTATTCCTTAACATGCAGATGAACATTATGAATAGAAATCTTAACCTAAATTAGACAGTCTAGAAAATGTTTTAAATAAAGCATAAATAACAGTCCATGGGGAATGTAACATTTATTAATATTTACAAGGTAATAATTTGGCATCTTACTATTAAAAAATTTCTAATTCTGTATTAATGGCTGAACAAATGAATGTTTAATGCATTAAATATTTAAATGAGAAAAAAGATAGGATTATTAAGATTATTGATTAATATTTCAATTCATTACTCATTGAAGTTTAAGGAAAACACTAGAAAAATATTGAAAATTATAAACGAGATGCTCAATTTTTCTAATAGGTAATTAGAGATAGATGGAAATCACATTTTGAATTATTAGAAAGTTTCAAAAATTAGGATTGTATGAAACCATTAATAAGATTTTTGAAATCTAAAACTCTATAAGAAAACGAATAATATTTTATATAAGCATAAGAATTTACAGAACGTTATGCTCATTATTAAACTAAAGTTAGCTTTGATTCTGAAAAATCGTATTTATATATCTCTATTTTAGTGCTTAATTAGGTGGATTTATATCAGATTTTCTTAAAGTGATTAATTATGATCTACCAGAATATGTAAATATACATAAATTAGCACCTCCAGAAATAACTACTTAGAAATCTAATGTTGGATCTGTAAATAATAGTAAAGCATCAATAAGATAGTCAGAATAGAAAATTAATTAAAGCTAAATAAAAAGTGGACGAGAAATTTAATAATAAGCATAATTCATGAATTAATCATCGAATCCCAATAATTATATGTAATAAAGTTAACAATAATTTGGATCATAGAGATAAATGAGAAATAATTATGGAGAATAGCCAAGTTTGGGTAATTTAGGATCAAGAAAATATTGATATATATATAAATATATCTATATATAAATATAGTATGAATTAAATAAATCAATATTTAATAGTGTCTGTTAAAGACAACTTAAAAGTATTTGATGAATATGGTTTTGTTTTTAATTTTTCCCATATATTTTAATTAATTGGCTTATTGGATTAAACCTATAGTGATGTATTTTTAGAATGGATATTTTGTTTTGTCTTTTTTTCTAGTTCTTGATATTTTGATTTCCATATAGAGATTTCTTATTCTAAATTCTTATTCTATTATTTTAATTATGAATGACTTAAGTGTAATTAATTATATGCAGCCAATAATAACTCAATTTATATCATCTCTTTTGATTTTGAAATATTAATGTTTGAAGATTCTTTCAATTACTTAGATAATTTCTCAATCACTATTTATTTATTGATCTTTTTGTTCTGTTAATTTTATAATTTCAAATGAATGAGCTAAAATTTACAATCCTATAATCTTGATCTTGGAGTAGACATTTAATCACTAATCAATTCAGAATTGAAGTATGTTTTATCTCTAATTATAGGTATCTAGAACTTTTTATCACTTTTTGATGTTAAAGGAGGTTTAGCTTAAATTCTTGAGCCTATCTGTGTTTCGAATTGTATTGAATCATTCAATTTAGGTTTTACACTACTTTTTAAGCTATGTGTAAAACTGAAAGATAGATCACTAATATTCTAATCGATTGGCTCTGTTTTATATTGTTTGCTAATACTTTAAGGAAGAAATTCCTTAATTTCACTATCAGTAATCATAATAAATATAATTATATTCAGATTAACTCAATTTATACTTTTTATTAAAATATAATTTAAGGGTCTAATAATATTATCTCCTACTAAATTATAAAATTATAAAGGATATTATTGTGTTATCTTATCATAAAAGTGAATATTATTATAAGTTTTCTTATATGTAAAAAATATATAATTTAATTCATATTAAAAGATAGTATTTAGAAATATATATATTAATAATTCAAAAATTGATTGTTTTTCTAAGCATCTATATCCATATTATTAATTCATTAATCATAAAATATTATGTTTATGTAGCTAAAATCTTATTATTTGAAAAAAATTCGTTTGGTATTCAATTTTTTATTATATTCTTCTATAAATGAATTGGAATATCTTTTAAGTAAAAATAATATGCTTTAAATTTCAGTTGCAATACTTATCTAAACACTTAATCAATATGAAAGTATTATTTATGAATTATTGATTATCTTTAATATTAAATATTTATGCTATAATATTGTATAATTTTATTATAATGTTAATAATATAGATAATTTTTACATCTTCAACTATGTAGCATTGTTATTTATAGGTATTTTAATAAATATTATTAAAAACTAACATTTGAATGAAATGAATTAATAATTTATATTTATGTGATTTTAGTATAACAATTATAAAGTAATAAGCAATTTTATAATTAATTATGTAATATCAATAATATATTAAAAACTTAATCATTAAAAAATAAATAAATGGATGATATACATTTGATTTTATATATTTTTAGACTACTTTTGTTATTTTTTAAATATATAGAAACATATTTATGTAAATCCATATTAATATAATTATTGTACTAAAAATAGACATGTACACAAATAAACAAATCAAGTGTTGATTTATTTAATAGATATCATTGGCGAAGAACTCTTTTGTTTAGAAAATGAAGTGCTTGGATACTTTCAGGAGTGAATATCTCGCCATTTTATTCTCGAATAACAATCTCTTTATAAGACATTAATTCAATCTCTTCAACTTCTTTAGGGTTTTAGATAAAGTTAATTATCTATCCATCATAAAATGTATAAAATATTTATCCCCAGATCTTATTTTTCTTACTTTCAAAATAGAAAGAATTGAGAAATGTCAATTCTAAGTCTAATCCTGTTTCTTATATTAATTTTCTTTTAGCACATTAACGATAATCCTCAGATTCTAGAACAATTCCAGTAAAACAAGTGCTAAGTGTCCCAGGTTAATATTATTTTTATTAAGAACGCTTATGACAAAAGATTCTGAATGTCTACTACTCTATGACGAATAAAAAAGTTGCTTGATGAATTACTTTAGATAATAGCTTATAATCAATACAAATCAAGTCTTAATAATAATAATTACTTTTTATTACCTATAACATGATTATTGATGTCGACAACTTTGGCTTTTAATAATTCAGATTCATTTTAATTATCCTTCATAATTAATTACAATTCAAAATATAAAAATAATTTTTGATTTCCAAATCATTTTGTAACAGATTCTTATGATGTATTTATAATCATTGATCTATATAATATTTTAATTATTTATATCAAAACATATATACTTCTTAAATATATTCTTTGTTTATTCAAAAAAAATTAACCTCTTTAATAGTATATATGTCTAAAATATCTAATATAGATATATTTATTAATTATTATATATAATCTCAAATTAATATCAAATTCTTAATCAAATGTCTTATTATTTTTCATAGTTAAATTATGTATAAATTGATAAATATTATTAAATCTAAGATGATCAATTCTATATATTGAATATATAGATATTCAAGTTAAACATTAAAGCACTATAATTCAATTAAAAAAAAAACAAGATATTTCTAAACTTTAATATTTACTTATTTTGGCTTATAATGCTTCCAATGAAATGCCATCTTTAGTATGATATTTTTTAAATATTAACTTCTAGATATTGGTCAAAGATATTTAAATTTACTATGAACTATCTATTGTATATATATAGTGAAATGTATAATTAAGAGGAATTAAAATAAAATCATGAGTTTCTTTTGATTGCATCAAAATACTCATACTGATTTATTATTTTTTCTCCTTCTTTAATTTAAACATATAATCTAGAGTCATTCTTGATTTATCTATAACTAGCCCTTTTTGACTCTGACTATTCATCAAAATTAATTTCTTTTTTCTTATGACAATGTAGTATTGTTTTCGCAGTCGCATAGTTAATATTAAGGTCTTTGGCTATCTGAAACTCTTAGAAAATCTTACTTTCTTAATTTTACATTTTTATTTCAGTACAGTTTGAATCAACTATGTTTTCTTCTCTTTTGATATATGACAATAAACTCGTTTTACTTTCATATCAAGCTCCTACTCACATACTTTCATAGATCTTGTCTTTACACCTATAACTTTTTCATGACTATTCATTAGATTTATATTTTATTAAAATGAAATAGGAATGTCATGAGATTTAAATTATTTATAGAATCTATGGACTAAATGAATAATAAAATTTGAATTTATACTATAAAAATTATATTAATGTTAATAAATGCAGACTTAATTGTTATTAGATATATAAATTTGATAAGAATTTATTTATTATCGGTTGCTGATATTGCTGGAAATTGAAGTTAATTCACTTAAATATATGGACAAATTTTTTGAATTTCTAAAATCAATTTAGGATCAATATTTATAATTTCAATCATATATTTTTTAAGCAAATACATCATAATTATATTTGTCTATGATTTAATTTATAATTATTTTAAAGAATTTAGAAATGTATTAAAATATTTTGATAAAAATATTAATATGATTTTTTATCAATTTTTATTAAGATAGTAAATCATATATCAAAAATTCATATGATTTTTATATATATAGGTTATTAATATTATAATTATTAATTTAATATTGAATAAATATTAAAAAATAAAAGTAAACAATATTTATAAAAGTACTAAATTATAAAAATAACAATTCATTGTCTACTGCTACACATACTAAGATACATTTTTAGTATCTTATCTAAATCTTAAGATTAATGTGATTCTTTTTTGAATCTACTTATACATTATTGAGTTTATCCTTTAATAACTCTATCTGTTTTTAAATTTAATCTATTTTCTTCTTCAAAAGTATGTTATTAATCTTCAATTGTAAAAGATGGCATAGATTTAAACTAATCTAATAGTTTGACAGTTCCATTTTCATCAAAATTTTTTGATTTTGAACAATATTTACTCAATTAAATCTTTTTTGGTTGTGGACTTTTTATTTAAGTAATTTTAGTATTGGAATTCTTGATTAAATTAGTTAAACTAGCCTAATTTCGTTTATGCATATTAGTGGCATCTCTTAAAGGACTAGTTTAATCATAAATAATCTTCTTTTTTATATCATCAAATATATTATTAGATTGTTTTTTTGAATCTACTCTTGTTTTTGATATATTAGGAGATTTAATACTCAATGATGAAGAATTATTCAAATTATTCCCATTAGTTTAATTTAATCTACCTATAGGTTATTATTTGTGACTTATTAAAGGGGATTGATATTTTTATATTGAATTTTAATCAACTGAAAAACTTGACCTTGGAGATAAAGATATCTTAAGTTCTATTACAATTATTATATAATATTATTACATCCTTATTAAGGATAGCATCTCTAAACAAATGGGGATTAATAAATATCTTTAAAGGATAATCTCTATGATGGATCTTTTTATAAGATGTTCTTAATAAGTTCTTAGGCATCTGAATTTATAGAACTAGAATAACGTATTAAACCACTCTTTATATTAACAGCTATTTCTTTATATTCTTTTCCTTTAAATGGAGCATATCCATGCAATAATTCATATAGTAATACTCCAACTGACCATATATCAATTTTATAATCATAAGGTAAATCAGAGACAATTTCTGGTGCCATATACTCATAGGTTCCACAAAATGTCTTTCTTTTAAGATGAATATTCTCTGCACACCATCCAAAATCACATAATTTAATATCGTTATTACTATCCAATAATAAATTTTCAGGCTAAATATATTTATATTATTGATTACTTTTATATCTCTATGGAATACATTTAATTCATGCAAATATTGTAATGCTTTGCAAGTTTGTATAAAATACTTACAGGCTTCTTTTTCATCTAATCTCTTCTTCCTTTGCACATAATTATATAAGTTTCCATTTTCAGCATACTCTAATACCATATATACGTTTCCATGTTCAATGAAACTATCATACAAATTTATTATATTTGGATGATGACACTTTAAATGTACTTTTATTTCTCTTTCCACTCCTTCCTATTCATATGGAGTTTAGATATTGCTTTGTTAAATTGATTTTATTGCATAAAGTGCTGATGATTTAACATGTTAAACCAAATTAACAGTTCCAAAAGATCCAGTTCCTAAACTAGTCTTACCATTAGATCTTTGTTTAAGTTCAAATTGACCCATTGAAGTAAACAGTCCTTTATTATAGCATTCTATTTTTCTTTACATGATTGTTTGATTAACTGACAAATTTTTATAAATATAATCAATAAAATTTATATTCAATTTACTTAAAATAATCATCTATTTTCATTCTCACTTTAAAATACTCCTTTAAAATTTAATAAATTAATAACACTAAACTATTAAATCTTTAAAATTTTAATTACTAGCCTATGTATCTTATATGACATCATCATTTAATAATTATTAATAATTAATTCTAAAAAAATTTATACAATGACCAAATAGAACTTTATTTTAAGTATGGGTTTTCAATTCATACTTCTCAAAAGTAAGTATATTTTAGCATATTTATGTAAAATACTTTTAATTAATATTAAAATTGTAAATGGAAATATTTTATGATAATATTAGATATTATGAATATATAATATATGTAATTTAGAAATTGATTATGTAATCTAAATTAAAAAGAAACTGAATTTGTATTAATCATATCATCATTAAATCATTCTTTAAAACAAATCGAAATTAACTAAGTATTAAAATATATTTTAAAGATCATTTTAGATTAATAATAATACAGTTTTTACAATTGTAAATGTCAATCATGTGTATCAAAAATATAATTATAATCCAGGAAAATAATTAATATAAAATAAATTTTAATAAATAGTATTATAACTATAAAATTATAAAAACTATTTCTAATCTATTCATTTAATTTAAATTAATTATATTCCAATATTAATGTATAATGATTTAAGATTTTTAATTTTATTACATCATATAAAAAGTGCGTCATATAGTATAAATAATGATATCACAATAAAAAATCAAGATAGTTTGTCAATAATTGTAACAATGAAAATCATTTTATTAGTTCTAGTGATTTAAGTATTCAGCCAAAGTTGTTTAAGTTCAACAGGATCTTAAGTTGATTGGTGGCTGATATTTAAATTACCTGCTGATTCTACCATACCATATAGTGGATTTGAATATTATTATTGTGATTCACAAAATGATTGTTCTGTCATGAACCTAATGGGTGATGATTTAAGAGACCGTACATCACCCTTATAAAGAACTGTGGGTTAAATCTCCTTTATATCAAGTACAACTATGAATGTAGTATGGAATGATTAACCATATGGAAAATCAACTATTTCTGACAGAGCTCATTCCAAAGGTATATTATCTGCATCTTCTAATGGATAAGGATTTATAATTAATCATTCAACACCATAATTTCCTTTATTTGATGAAACTTAAAGGTAAAATTTAATAGTATATATTTAGTAATATAATATCTGGAATGCCAAGTAGTGCTAGTGTAAATGGCTAACATTATTTTTGTGTAACTATGCCAACCTCATAAATTAATGTAGTAGCATAATAATATATTATTGCTTAAACATTAACACAAAAGGCTAATGAAATTAGTACATTTGAATCAACCTATCCTAATATTTTTGCTTTAAGAAATAATTCAAGGAAGATACCAGCTTAAAGTGGAACTACTTAAGTTAAGAGTAAGAATGGATTGAATATCCATGTTATTTCAAAGAACTAAAATTTAGTGGATGACTTTTATGCTACCATAGTGGCACCACATTTAAAGATTGGTTTGGTAATGGAAACATGGGGAAATGGAACGGGAGGATTATAGGAACCTTCTTGCTCATAAACTTATCAAACTTATAGCAATATTTATAGAAATCATAATGTAGAATTATAATAATATTTATAGGGTTATAAATTTAAATATACAAAAGATCATTCTAAATTTGGAATTTCAGTATAAAGTGCAATGCCATATGTTTGTATGTCAGATTTAAATAGAATGACAACTTAAAATAAAAGAGGAGGAACTACTTTTTGTTTTTTACATTCTAAGATTTGGAATGTAATAAATAAAGCATTTATTGAAAGATAAACATGCTGAAAGTTTAATTAAATTTTATTTTGTTAATTTAAACTAATATAAATATGAATAAGAATTATAATTGATTACAAAATAATAAATATTATTATGGCAAAAAAAAGTAATGATGTAGATGTTGAAGCATTGAAAAAGAAGGTTTTACCAATAATTAGAATTGCTGTTCTTGGACCTAAAGGTGTAGGTAAAACAGCTATTGTCAATTAATTTGTCAATAATTCATTTGAACCATAATATGAAGAAACAGATGATGATATACGTCGTTATAAAAAGGTTCATGATTTAAATTGTAGTCCAACTGATCCCTAATATGTTGTATTCATTATAGAGGATATGTAATTGCAAATTTACACAACTTTAGATTCCCAACAAATCATCCTGATTTAGTTAGAGAAAGTGATTTCCTTAAGACAAATATTTATTTTGGAACACTAGAAAATAGGTAATAAAGATTCAAGGAAGAATAAAAGAACATCTTAGACTTTGATAAATAGATTTATGGTTATATATTTGTTTTTGATGGAAATTAAAACGATTCATATAAAGGTTTAGAAGAACCTATAAAATATATATCAGAATATTGTGAAAAGTAAAGATCTTTTAGTATGTTAACTACTAAGAAAGTTGTTGTAGCTAATAAAAGTGATTTAATTGAAGCTTAAAATTAAGATAAAGTATTTTCAAAGTGGAAATCTCTTGAGAAATTTAATATTCCTACAAGATTTGTTGTATCTGCAAAGACTGGATATAATGTTAATGCAGTATTTGAAGAAATTGGCAAATAGATATTATAAGATTAAAAATTAGATATGATTGACAAAGCTTGGCTTACAGAAATGGATAGTTTAATTAATGGAATTGAGTAATATCGAAAAAAAAACAAAAACTCTAATCAAGATGATAATAATAAAAAAAAAGGTGGAAATAAAGGATTCTTAGGTTGTGGAGAAAAAAGAAAGTAATTTGTTGCTGATGATGTAATTTAATATAATAATTAATTAGGAAGACGAAGATGAAGATGAAGAGGATGAAGAATTTAAAAATTTATAATAATATCCTGGTATGATGGAAGATAATAAAGAGGGTTGTAATATCTTTTGATTTATATATAAAAATATAACTGAATATATTAATTTAAATATTGAATATACAAATATTTAATTATGTAATGAACAAAAGAATAGCCAATAAATTTATATTTACATTATTTTATTTATTCTACATTCTGCATATTATAATATTAATTTCTGTTGAAAATATATATATTATATATTATTGTAATTGTAATTAAATCATGTCATCAATTTTACAGATTTGGATCATCTCATTCTTAATTCACATTATTATGAATCAATAATTGTTGAATTCAGAATGGTAATATCATTCATCAGAATTAGTAGATAATACATTTCCATCCACTGGTTGGAATGCTATACCTCCTATTTATACATGTAATTCAGTAGTGCCTTCTTTTTAATAATTCTATGATTTTACTGGATAAACTTGGGCAAGAAATTTTGATTTAACATAAGAAAGAGGATATATGTAAGTAAGAATAATTTTTGATTTATATATTTTTTAATATAATCAAGCAAAAATTATTGATTTACCTTTTCTATTTAAATTTGATGGAAATATTATATCTCAAGATGATGATTTATTTATGTTGTAACAAAATAAACCAATAAATTTTACATTTTGTAATTCAAGAGTATTCAAAGATTTGAAATTTACATTAAACTTTTAGATAAACATACCTACAAACACTATTAATTTTAATCATTAATTTCAAATACGACCATTAGATGTTACTACACAATTTTCAATTAAAAACTTTTTTATTTTCATAAATAAATGTCCAAAAAATTGTTATGAATGTTAAATGAAATAGTTTTGTGATGTTTGTAAACCTAATTTTTAATTACTTTAAAAATCTTGTCGTTGTTCATATCCTAAACCATTTATGGTGAATGATGATTGTTTGGATTCATGTCCTTTAGGTTATTTTGATTTTTATGAAGATATATGCAAACCTTATACAAGCAAATCTTTATTATTTAGAGATGATGTTAATCAGAATTAAATTAAATATCAATATATAAAGGATACTTTATCTAATATCTTTTATAAATCATCAACTTTTGAATAAGGTTAAAATTTTTAAGGACCTTTTAGATTTAATGATAAAATACTATATTCATTTAGAAAGTCATCAATCAATAATATTTTAGAGTTTGAAATAACAATTTATATCTATGGATAAATAGCTGTAATTTAATTTTTATAATATAGGATGTGACTGGAGTAATATTTGAAATTAATAATTATAGAATTGGAGCAATTACTTCTGAACTATCAGAAATATCAGCTAAAGGTGGTTTGATTAAATAGATTTTGGGATGTTCTTATAATGGATTTTAGAGTTGCAAGAAAATATAGTATTATATAACTATATAAAGTTTTAATGAATTAGATATTGTTTTAGGAATAAGATCTTTTTTTAAGTATATATATATTAGATTGTTTTTATAGCATATCAGATCCATTGTAAGCTTGGGGATTAGATTAGGTTATAGTGAATGAGATTGAACCAGGAATATTATTACCTTAAGTTTGTTCTCTTTGGTATGAAGGTAAGTGTACGAATTAATGTCCTACATATTCTACGTTAAATGGAATTATATGTGAAGATTATGGCAGTATATATAAGAATCCACTATATTTTTTTAAAGAATTTTATCCTAATCATATTATTAATGATTATTCAAGAGCATTAATAGATCTAAAAAATATAGAATTTTATCAATTTGAGAATAGATTTCTATATATGTTTAATACTAATTATTAAGGTGGTATATTAAGGCATAAATTTTAAATAGTAACACCTCATCGTAAATTGAGATTAATGATATCAATTTTATTGATTGATTGGTAAAATAACTCATAAGATTATTTTTTTGAATTAGCAATTGGATCTAGTCTTAATTAATAAAAATATAAATTTTATGCTGATTTATCAAATTAATTTATAGATTATCAATTAAATTAAGAATTTCCTGATTATATTTATAGAAATTACACTTTAGATTTTATACATAATTAGAAATCATTTAATTTAGAATTGAGATGTTTTTCTCCATTTGATGGATATTGTTCATTTTTTGATTACTTTATAATTATTGAAAAGGTTATTATGATGTTTAATTTTAGTGTGATCATGGATGTTCCAAATGTGATATAAATGGAGTCTGTTAATAATATGATTTTCAAGATTTAGATAAAATTAGTTACTAATTTCAAAATTATTAATGTTTAGATGGTTATTGGTATGATGACGAATAATGTATAAAATGTTCATTTGGTTGTGGTAAATGCAATCGTCATATCTGTTTATAATGTGAAGATAATTTTGAATTGAAGGAAGGTAAATGCTTTTGTTAGTTTTAATAATCTAATGGAATATGTAAGAAACTATGGCATTGTCCTTAATATTGTTAAACTTGTTCAAAACATTATTAATCATGTGATTCTTGTGATCTCAGTTAATTAAAAGTGTTAAATATGAATACCTGTGTATGTATAAATGGCTATTATATGAATCCAAATTTTGAATGTATTAAATGTAATATGAAATGTATAACTTGTAATGGATATGAATCATGTACAAGTTGTGATAGTCAATCTAATAGACAATTATTTTAAAATATGTGTGTATGTAAATAAGGATATTTTGATAATATGGACAATATTAATTGTCAATAATGTCATTATTTATGTAAAGAATGTTATTTTGAATATGATCGTTGTACTGAATGTGATACTCAAATATTTAGATAATTATCAAAAGGTAAATGTATATGTTAAGTTGGTTATTATGAAGATAATTAATAAATATGTTAGAAGTGTAATTCAAATTGTTATACTTGTGAATAAGAAAATATCTGTTTAAGTTGTGATATTTAATAAAACAGAATATTAAACACACAATAAATTTGCATATGTAATTAAGGATATTTTGAAAATTAAGTAAATTAATGTTAAACATGTCATTATTCATGTATATATTGTAATCAATCTGATGAATTCAATTAATGTACTTCATGTCCATCTTCTCGAATAAAATCATCTGATAAAATGAATGTATTTGAATGTAAATGTAGAAAAGGATATTTTGATATTGGAATCTTAGAATGTATCAGTTGTAAACCTTATAAAAATGTAATTGCTTCACATCCTTGTTATTCATAATGTGGAGATTAAATATTATAATGGAATGAAGAATGCGATGATGGAAACAATGATTCAAGAGATGGTTGTGTTGATTGTTATTACACTACTGATAGATGTAGTCCTAATATTTGTAAAAAGTGTTATTAAGGTTATTGTATAATATGTAATGATGGTTATTACATAAACAAAAATAATGAATGTGAAATATGCTCTTAAAGTTGTATTACTTGTATTAATTCTTCAAACAATTGTCTATAATGTAGATTCCTATAAATAGATCAAACTTGTAAGATTTGTGATTAAGAATATGGATTTTAAATAAAGGATAATAAATGTTAAGCTGTTTGTGGAGATAATATGATAGTTGATATTGAATAATGTGATGATGGTAATATAATTGATGGAGATGGATGTAATTCATAATGTATGATAGAACAAGGATTTATATGTAATCCTAATTGTTAAATTATAAATCCAATAATTATTATATTGAAATCTGATCCAAAAGATAAGTATTTCAATAGTAAGAGATACTGTTATTTAGAATTTAATTAAGATGTAATCATTGATGGAACTTTGTCTTAAATGATTAATATGTAAATCAATAATTCATCTGTTTAATTTAATTCTAATATATCACATTTAAATCCTCAATCTCTTTTAATAGAAATAGAATTTTTAAATAATGTATAAAATCCAATTATTTAAATTGAAATAAGTACTCCTTCTAAAATTAAAAATAATTAAGGGGTAAATTTAGAAAATAACATTTAAACAATATAACTATTATCTTATACTCATCAAAGTGAAGGTACTAAAACAGCTACAAATAGTTCATCAAATTTTGCTTATTTTATTATGATATTTCTATTGAGTTTAGCTGGTTTTTCTTTTATTACTGGTGGATTAAGTATATTTTTTAACTTGTTGGATTCTATTTAAATGTTAGCTTATTTAAAATACTTAAATATTATTTTCCCATATAATTTATAAATGTATTTTGAAACCTTTGGATTTGCTGAATTTAATTTCTTAAAAGAATATATATCAATTTAAATAACTATTCTCGATTTTGATTTTAAAATATCTGAGAATCAACCAGATCAAAAATTTGCAGAAGAAGGATACTCATCTTTATTTATTATAAATATACTTAGTGTATTAAGTGTATTTATTATTACTTACTTTACTTTCATTTTATCATAATTACTACACAAAATATGTAATTTCTATATCAATTATTTACATAATAATATCAAGAATGATAATTATTTCATTATAAATATTTTTTAATACTATTTATACATTGTAGCAAAGCATCTACAATCCTTATCTATTATTTATAATACTTAATTTCACAATAATATAATACGAACTATAATGACAGTTGCAATGGATTTTAATATGGCAATATTTTTATAATTAAAGATGTATCAATATGATATGAGATTTAGTTATTATTTAAGTTTAATTTCATTAATTGTTTATCTATTATTCATTTATTATGGTTTAATTGCAATATCTAAAAAATAATATGAATTTGTTACTCTTATATATAAATAGAAACATGAATCATTTTTAGAAGGTAATCCAGAATTTCATTAAAATTAATTTGTTAAATATTATAATATCATAATACTAATTAAAAAGATGATGTTCATGTTTGCATTAATATTTTTATATCATTGTCCATATTTTTAAATTTTAATATCTTCAATTTAAAATATTATCTTTATTGGATATATTTTATTGATCAAACCTTTAAAAGATATTAATGAATTCTATAAAGTTATTTTAACAGAATGTATTTTATGGTTGGAATAATTATTAATACTCTTAATATATTATATTCAATCAGGAACCAATTAATTAGATTAATCTTAAATTTCCAATATGTAAATTTTGGGTTGGATTATTATAGGATTATCAATAGTTATGCTATTAATATAGTTTTTGATTGATATTAAATAACATGCTTATTTTCTATATCAATAATATGCATTCATTCAGAAGATGTTTGAATATGTAACTAGGGTTTTTAATAAAAAAGACTAATAAATTGATTAAATTGCAGAAGAACTTATCAAAGAAGAAAAAAATGGAAAGCTAAAAAGTAAAATAATTGCCTATCAATTTACATAAGATAGAAAAATGTATTGATATTAAATAGTTTAAGTATATATTTATATTCCATACTAAAGTTAATTTTATCATTATTTAATTAAAAATCTTAAATAATATAATAACTATACTGCTTTAAGTTTTATAAACTATTTAATTATGTATCTATTTTCTTCTAAATATGATAAAAAATAGATTCTTCTATATTAATATGTAAATAAATGAAAAAGAGTTTGTTTCTATTTTATAATTATGTTTATATTATTTTGACAAAAATTAAAATGCGAAATAGAAAGGGGAAAAAAAATCAATAATTTTACTTATTCTTATGAGATAAAAGGATAGATAAAAGAGTAAAGGAAAATATTTAAGCATATCAAAAGAACTAGTTTAAATAGTGGATGTACATGGTGGACCAAATTGTAAAAATTGGGGATAAGTTGCCAGACATTTAGAAGCTCAAGTTGNTTGCAATATCTAAAAAATAATATGAATTTGTTACTCTTATATATAAATAGAAACATGAATCATTTTTAGAAGGTAATCCAGAATTTCATTAAAATTAATTTGTTAAATATTATAATATCATAATACTAATTAAAAAGATGATGTTCATGTTTGCATTAATATTTTTATATCATTGTCCATATTTTTAAATTTTAATATCTTCAATTTAAAATATTATCTTTATTGGATATATTTTATTGATCAAACCTTTAAAAGATATTAATGAATTCTATAAAGTTATTTTAACAGAATGTATTTTATGGTTGGAATAATTATTAATACTCTTAATATATTATATTCAATCAGGAACCAATTAATTAGATTAATCTTAAATTTCCAATATGTAAATTTTGGGTTGGATTATTATAGGATTATCAATAGTTATGCTATTAATATAGTTTTTGATTGATATTAAATAACATGCTTATTTTCTATATCAATAATATGCATTCATTCAGAAGATGTTTGAATATGTAACTAGGGTTTTTAATAAAAAAGACTAATAAATTGATTAAATTGCAGAAGAACTTATCAAAGAAGAAAAAAATGGAAAGCTAAAAAGTAAAATAATTGCCTATCAATTTACATAAGATAGAAAAATGTATTGATATTAAATAGTTTAAGTATATATTTATATTCCATACTAAAGTTAATTTTATCATTATTTAATTAAAAATCTTAAATAATATAATAACTATACTGCTTTAAGTTTTATAAACTATTTAATTATGTATCTATTTTCTTCTAAATATGATAAAAAATAGATTCTTCTATATTAATATGTAAATAAATGAAAAAGAGTTTGTTTCTATTTTATAATTATGTTTATATTATTTTGACAAAAATTAAAATGCGAAATAGAAAGGGGAAAAAAAATCAATAATTTTACTTATTCTTATGAGATAAAAGGATAGATAAAAGAGTAAAGGAAAATATTTAAGCATATCAAAAGAACTAGTTTAAATAGTGGATGTACATGGTGGACCAAATTGTAAAAATTGGGGATAAGTTGCCAGACATTTAGAAGCTCAAGTTGGAATAAAGATTGAAAAGGCATATAGATTGAAAAGAGCGTATAAATTAATAATATATATATATATAGATGGGAATCTTTTGTTGATTACAATGAAAACATGTCTAAAGAACAATTAGCTATGTTATTTGAAACAGCTATAAAGACAAGAGGGAATATGGAATATGCAAAACATGAATTTAAGAGATTGACAGGAATCTAATTATATTCGACTCGTTATGCTGATTATGTAAAAACATGGTTGAAACCAGGATTATTAGGATTTAAAGATTGTTATATATTTTCAGTTGTAAAATCTTTGAGAAGATCTGATTTCTATTAAAAACATACTATGGTATAACCAATAACAGTATTATCAATGTTAAGAATTTTGGATCATGATATAGAAGAATATAAGGATGACTTTTTTGTTATGGATTTTAGAGAAAGTGCAGAGAAGTTGCAAGAATTATTAAAATGTTATGCTAGTTGTTTTTAAGAATCAAGAGAAGAGAGATATAGCAAATTTTCAAGAATAACTACAAGACATTAATTTAAAAAGATCTATTTTTATTTATAATTGATGGAAGAGTTTAGAAGAATTAATAGATTTTTTACTAATCATGTGAATCAATTAACATTTCATCCTATGTTATATAAAAGTATTGAATAAAATAAATAATGTCCAATTTATAAATTGACACTATTAGAAAATGATTATTCTAAAAAACTACAATTATTTAATGAATCAAATAATAATGCAAATGAATAATTTTCAGTTCTTTTGAAACCAAAGAAAAAAAGAACTTCTTAGAAATCAGGAAATGATGAAGAAAAGAATTAATAGAAGGAATAATAGAATCCATATGTTTATCAATTAGAAGAAGAAGATTTGGTTAAATAAATCAAAGTACCTAAAAAAATGAGTGAAACTAAAAAGAAATATAAAGATTATCGATATTTTAGAGGACATTTTATAAGAGAAGGATAATATTAATGTAAAGGATTAACAACAAAAGATTTTGAATATGATGTTCCACTTGAATAATGAAGTGTAAAATTATAGAAAATAAAATTAATTTTTATTAATGCAATAATCTTAATCATTTATAAAAACCGATAAAAAGTGTGATAGACAACATGATGAGGGATCAGATAGATTAATAGCTATTTGTTTAAACCCTCATTGTGATAAAAGGTTAATGTGTTGCTTCTGTTATCATGATTATCATTGTGAGCATGTAAAGGATGTTAAGACAATTGCACAAGTTTAATAATTATGTAAGGATTCAATTATTAAATTTGACAAATTACAACTTACTATAACCTTATAATAGAAAGCTGATTAGTTTAAGTCAGTTGTTTAGAATATCAATGAATAATTGGAGAAATTACTATAATATTATATTCATGATATACAATAATTGTATTAGATGTTAGAAGATTTAGCAGATAGTTTTGTAATTTTACAATAAGGAAATATTAATCAATTTACAAATGAATAATGTGAATTATTGACAACATTTCATGATGAAAGAATTCTAGATAATATTGAAGATATTTCTAATTATATTGGATAGAAAATGGGAATATAAGATTTACTTAAAATTAGTAATGATTTACATGAAAAATTAATGATGCTTGATATTAATGAAATATTTGAAAAAAATATATATAATGAACAATTGAAAAAATTTGTTCAATCTCATGAAATTAAATATGATTGGATTTAACCTGAGTTTTTATTAACTAGAAGTCCTGAGGTTGCTAAAATAGTATATCCAAATGAAGATTTCTATATTGGAGAAATAAAAGGTGATAAGAAGTTTGGTAGAGGTAAAAATATATATGATTATGATAGGATTATTATTTAATAAAATACCTTAGACATATTAATATGGGGTATTTAGAGAGGATAATTTTGTTTGGGGTCAATAATTAATGGTAGATTAGAAAAAACGTTACTGGATTAAATAAGGAAAATGGGTCAATGGAAAAATAGAAGGTAAAGGGATTCATGCCTTGTTCAAAGGAGAGTATTATTAAGGAGATTTAAGGAGTGATATAAGAGAAGGGTTTGGAATAATGAGATATACTACAGGAGATGAATATTAAGGACAATGGAAAATGGGATAATTTAATGGTAAAGGATTGTATAAATATGCAAATGGAGATGAATATGAAGGAGATTATGTATAAGATAGAAAAGAAGGTATAGGATCATATTAATATTAAAATGGAGAATTGTATGTTGGTTAATTTAAAGCTGGTTTGAGACATGGTAGTGCTATAGTCAAATTTCCAAATGGAGATATGTAATGAATTATAGTTTATATAGATATACAGGAGAATATGTGAATGATAAGAAGGAAGGACCTGGAGTATACAAATATATTAATGATAATATTTTTGAAGGGACTTACAAAGATGGACAAAGACATGGATAAGGGATCTTCACAGATGTTGTAAATGGGATAAGAGAGATTGGTGAATTTGTTTAAGGTAAATAACATGGAGAACATATGATTTTTAAATTGTTGAAGGATAAACCATATTGTATAAATGTTTATGATAATGGAATTCTAGTTAATACAAAATCATTATGATTTTTAGGTTTCATTTCAATATTAAAACACTATTATTTTTATAATATTCAATCAATAATTTAGGGAATCGCTCTCTTAAAAAGTAGAAGGGATAATAAGATGTTAACAAGTTAGGATTTTAATATTGTAATTCAAAGTACAATTCATTTTCTGATTTGACATGAGACTTAATATTAATAGGAACACTATCAATTGTATTTCCATGTTCTTTATCAAAAGAAACTTTCTTCATTTATATAATTGGTTATTGTCTCAATCTTTCCAAAATTTATCCACTTACTTCTTCTTGTGTATCAATTAAATAGAATTCTCTTGGATCCTCTTCCATATTGGTCTACACTATTTTATCAGCCTTTTGTTTCTTATCCCTTTTTAGCATGATTTTTATTATTTGTCATTTATGAAATAAAACTATAAATATAAATAAAAACATGATTATTTTATTTCAAAATATAAGTGTTTTAACTTTTCCTTTCCTAATTCATATATAAATTTCAAATACTTATAAATCCTTTTATTAGAACAAGGTTTTATGTTTCCTCTACTCTGAAAATGACTTAATTTGTCCTTCATGGCTTACCCTTTTTGTATGGCAATAAACAAAAATGAGTATAAGGAATTTATGTTTTGTCTATGATATATAGAGGTCACTCTCTACAGATACTTCATAACTCTGGAGATGTTATATTCTGGATAATACTCTCTAAACTCACAGATTTTATCGAAGTCTCCTACCGATGGCTAAGTTATGATGGGCTATGGTTGGTAATGAAAGCAATCTTACGAATTCAATTTAATAGTGTTCTTCTTCATACAATTGTTAAATATAATTCTCATAGATTAAGCTTGATCTTCTATTTCTCATTCCAAATAAATTCTAATCAAATGTAACTTTTTATGAAACTCTTCTATAAATTCTTGGACTCTTATCTGAATAGTAAAATTATTATGCAGGTCTTTATATCTCTTATTATTATAATTAAAGTTCTTCATCAATAATATCAATGATTGGTATTTCTTCATCATTTTCTTATATTGGATTATGCATTTAAGATTCAAATTTGGCTCCAAATCCTGCTGTTTCCTTTTATTGAGATTTTCGATGAATAGACATCTTTTTTAAAATTTCTTATTCAAATCTTCCTATTTCTTCTTGAGATTTAGATGATGGATAATTTTAACTTAATCCAGCAGTCAAAGTTTAAGAAGGTCTATGACTAAACTTACTTAATTGATTACTATATTAACTAAAAGATTTTGTTAAACTTTTGGTTTGGACATTCGAAGTACCTATTGGACAATTATATAATACTTTTTATAGTTCTAGTCTAAATGTCTTCAGATTCACCTTCTGATAAATTTTCACTTTCTTCAACATTTTCCAAATCCTTCATTAATTCTTTAGCCAAATCTTAAATTAGTGTTTGTTATAACATAGCATTAATATATTTAGATTTCCTTTATCTAGATATATGTCTATTTATATTACATATCTTCTCTTTCTTATGAAATTGGATACAATTATTATTTGATGACTCTATCCTTATCTGGTTAATAATGTAAGAATGGACATTAATTCACTAAATGACTAGTAGATTTACAACTATAACATCTCACATCAAGCATAGATAAATCTTGTTAAAATTAAACTTTATCCTTTATCATATAAAATTTCTCTTTATCATCTGGAAATTGTTCAAGTAAATTTATAAAATGTTTACGTTATATTTTGTACAATTAACAAAATCCTTTACTAATTATTGTTGCTGTCCTTCTATTTGCTGTTATAAATCCTAAAAATCCAAAGTATTCTCCTTTTTACAAAGTCTTTATATGATTACGAGAATGTTTCTCATTCATATTGTTTGTTTACTCAAATATTATATCTACTTCACCTTTATTTATAAAATAAATTGAACTATCATCTTATTCATCTAATGTTAAGATTCTTTGTTCTGGTATTGTTTTCACTTCCTCCATATAATATACTAATTATTTCCTTAATTTAAATGAGAAATTTGATGATATCATTTTACATTATTCTAATATATTTGCCTATAATTGATGTTTCAATTCACTTCTTAATTAAAGTGATAACTTACCCATAATCTAAGTAATATCTTCATCATTCATTTACTATTCTTACTAATTAATTATTATTTTCAATTACTTTATAAATGTATTACAAATAACTTCGTATTCTAAGTTGTAAATTCAAATTTATGCTATTTAAATTCATATAATTAGTCATCATATTAATGTATTAATTATGCTTAATTCTTTAAGAATGATTATACAAAAAGAATCCAATCTTTATTGTAACAAATCCATTTATCAATATTGAAATTATTGATATCAATGATGAAAATATCAATTATTCATTATTACTTGACTCTAAATTAGAAAGTCCTGAACTTGTTAAATAAACTGATGCCCAATGAAAACATTGGATATATTATTAAATTACATTCTCTAATGATTTTAAATTATTTATATCCTTTATTAAAGTATACCATATACATGAAACCAAATGGATTACATAAATTACTGCAATCAAATTAATAACTAATGGAATTAAATTATTTTGTTAAATATTAAAATATTCCTGAGTATTATTAACAACTTTCAATAATTTGGCTCCTTAAAGTACACCAAATATACATAATAATAATAAATTTAATTCTGCAACTTCTAAAGTTTAAAATAATAGAATAATCAAAGAAATTAAACAGATAAGGTCTTTTATCATGTCTTATTTCAAATAGTTATATATTATATGATAGTGCTAACTAATACAATAAGAATTTATTACTTAATTACTTTTCCCTTAAATATATATGCTTAATTAAAGGAAATGATTATTTCAAATAATAACATCCCTATGAGTAGATATTCAATTATATAGTAATAATCATAATCTAATATTTATAGAATTGAATTGAATTCAAAAGAATATTTAAATGGCAACCATATGAATATTATCAATGTATTTATAATAAATACTATATCTGAACATAGTTTTAAACTACTTTACGGTTATATAATAGGATAATTGTTGAAATAATTGAACATAAATTTATAACAAGTACTATCTATATCATCTATTTATGTATCCTACCCAAATTAAAGATCATCAAGAACTTACTTTTAATAGTTGTTCATTTTGCTAACTGGCTTAGCTTTATCCAGTAATTATTTAATAAATGATTCTTAATACAATTTTTGCAAATGTAATCTAAATTATCTTTATTATTATTAATCTTCTTGTTATTCTTATTTATTTCTTCTACTTTATATTGAAACATATCGATTCAAATGACCCCTAAACGAACAACTAATCTCACGTAAGCTACTTGGAGGGGTTAAAATGAGTAAGGGATCCTAGCTCTAATTTTATTTATTAATCGATTTTATTGTGGGTGATCGATTTATCATCTCAAAATTATATATATATTTATTATTTGACATTCTTTTTAATTATACAATTTAATTATCATAATTATTATATAGAGATAATGGAAAGCTAATCTATTAATTATTATACATATATATATTTAAAATAATAGTTATCATTGTTCTTTAAAACAAATTCAAAATCAATACAATTTTATAACAAAAATATTTATTTTAAGTATTTGTAAATTTTAATTAGAATGGATAGCAATACTTTTGCAAATAACCCAATTATTATTGATATGGTATTTGAATATTATAAAATAAAAAGGGTTCAAGCTAAATAAAAGCAGGGTTTGGAGGTGATGATAAACCAAAAGTGATTTTTAATTCATAGTAAAAAAATCGAAAAATAATTAAGTATTGGACGTCCAAAATTAAAAGCATTGTCTGCTACAAATAGTCAAGAAATTTATGTAGGAAATTAAATTACAGATAGTATAAGAGGGAATATGAAAATAAAATACCCATATCAGAAAGGTGTAATTAAGGATATGAATGATATGGATTAATTATGGAAATATGCTTTCTCAGAATTAAATAGTAATCCTAAAGATGTAAGATTTAATTTATAAATTAGTATCCAATTTTATTGACAGAACCACCATTTACTAGTTAAATCTAGAAGAAGGAGATTGCAAAATAATTCTTTGAAAATTATAATTGTCCTGGTTTATTCTTTGCAGTATCTGGAATTGTTAGTTTATTTGCAAGTGGGAAAACGACTGGAGTGATTTTAGATGTTGGTGATACAGTATCATAAAGCATTCCAATTTATGATGGATTTTACATTTAACATAGTGCATAAAGAGTAGATTTAGCAGGACGAGATGTAACTGATAATTTGAATAATTTATTAAGAAGATCAGGATATATATTCACTAAAACTGTATATTTTATATTTCATATTGTTTAGGCAGAATTGGAAATTATCAAGAAGATTAAGGAGAAACGTTGTTTCTTGAGTCCAACAATGATTGCAGAAGAGAAATACTAAGAAGAGAGAAAGATAAAAGATCAATTTACATTACCTGATAATAATATGATCGAAATAAGTTATGAGAAACAGAGGGCTCCAGAAATCTTAATGTCACCAGAAAAGTATGGTTTAGAATTAAATTGTAAATGAGATTGCAATCTACATATTAATAGCAATTCCTGAAATCCTTGCCAATTCTATATAAAAAGTAGATTTAGATTTGCGTAAAACATTATACAATGAGATTGTATTGACAGGAGGAACTTCCCTGATGTAAGGTTTTCCAGAGAGATTGATAGGAGAAGTTAAAAGATTGATTCCAAAAGATGCTAAAGTATGTATTTATAATAATAAAAGGTTAAAATATGGGCTCCTCCTGAGAGAATTACTTTATGTTGGTAAGGTGGTTCTATTTTATCTCATTTATCTTCATTCAAAAGTATGTGGATATTAAAAAAGGAATTTGATGATGAAGGTGAAAGAATTTTAATAAAAAAATAATTGTGAAATTTTTTAGAGATCTTCAATTTATATATTTAATGTATCTATACTATCATTTTTCAACCTTGCCCAACCATAAAGCAAGTAATGATTTTCCTTTAACAGCAATAATCTTGAATCTGACCCCTGGAATATCACCGACTGCATGTCCTTTTCTTCCGAATCCAGCTACTGTTACTTCATCATTTTCATTTAAAAAGTTCAAACAACCATCTTTAGGAACAAAGGCTGATATTTTTTTACCATTTTTCTTGAGTAATACTCTAACACACTTTCTAACAGCAGAATTTGGTTATTTAGATTCACTAAAATAGAATATTATAAATTACACTCCAATTTTTTCAACAACCAATCCTTTAGCATGTGATGCACCCATAAATGGATTTTTATATCTTGATCCAATCATTGCCTTATTATATTCTTTATCAGCCCATCTATTAACTCTTCTGTGATCTTTGAGCTTTCTTCCAGCTCTCATACCTCTAGGTTTACCAACACCCATGATAAAAAAATAAAAAAAGATTTTATTTAATTTGTTTTTTCAAAAATATTCATTTTAAATATTATGAACCTCTTGGATGTAATAATTAAGCACCTTTTATTACATTCTATTCATATGTTGAAGTTGTTCCTCCTCCATGAGTACCACTCTTTCTTACTTCAGTCTCTTTTGTGACTGTTACTTATCTTTTTTTTATAGCTTCTAATTATGTTTCAGCCATTGTCAACTTTTCTGCTAAATCTGAATTTTATTCATTCACTTATTTAAACTTTTTCTTCCATAATTCTACTTCTCCTTAAAGACTTATAATTTATGTTTCTGATTAAGAATAATTTTCACACATCATTTCCAATTCCCTTATACGAGCATCCAATTAATCTAATTCATTGTCTTTATCATGTAATAATTATTTCAAATTCAATATCTCATTATCTCTCTATTAAATTTATTCATGACTTCCTGCTAAATCTTCAGTTAATTCATTTATCTTCTTTTTCAACTATCTTATTTCTTCATCCAATCCTGAACTCTTTGAATTAGACTCCTAAAGTAACTTATATCTAGATTTCCATGATTCCAAATCCTCTAACAATTATTTATTTTATATTCTCATTTATTATTCTTAATTCCTTATCTCTTTATTAGCTTACATTAATTCATTAATCTAACTAACTAAATGTTTAAATTACTCTTGTATCATCTTAAATATATGTAATCTACCCACTACTATTTTATAATCTTAGTTTTTATATCTCTACTTGTAATTCATATACATGCATTTCTAATCTTACTATTATTCATATAACTATTTAAATACAGCATTTTTCCTTCCATTTTTATTCAATATCCTCTTATGGTACCACTTAAAGGGGTCTCTCAAAATGATGAACATCTGCTCTATTTCCTTATATGTTTTATTATCTTTCATTTAGTTATGTCTATAATTATTATGTTTATGCTGTCTATTGGAATGAACTAATTTATATTTAAAATAAACTTACGGAATCACAGCTTTTGGAGATCCATATTATTACAATTATTAAGGATATCCTTATTATCCATATTAATACAATTATCTCATAGATGGAGTTTAACTAAAACAAGAATAATTAGAAATATTACTTCATTTACAGTTAAATATATTTTATATAATGAAATAAAAATACTTTATTTATTCATTCATTAATTTGTAATTAATATAAATCCTAATAATTTTAATTAATGCAATATAAGCTATAGAATTGTTAATTCATCAGAATTAACAAATTTATGATCTGAATTTATATGATTTGAATAAATTTTAATTATTGAAGATATTAATTATTAAAATAAAAATGGATTAAAGTATACTATTTAAGCCTCTTAAAATGGGAGATGTCGAACTTCCTAATCGTATTTGTATGGCAGCTTTAACCAGATAGAGATGCGAATCAAAAGACCTTGTTCCCACTGATATGATTATAGAATATTATGGACTTAGAGCAGAGGCTGGATTTATATTGACAGAATGTGTTCCGATTTCCTAAAGATCTTTAGCTTTCCCAGGAGAGCCAGGAATATTCACTAAGGAGTAGGTTGAAGGTTGGAAGAAGGTAGTTGATAAAGTACACTCAAAAGGAGGAAGAATATATGCTTAGGTATGGCATGCTGGAAGAGCTAGTCTATCCACTTTATAGGATGGATTAGAAATTTGGGGTCCCTCACCAATTAAGATAAGGGGCATTCATAGAAGAGGTTTGACAGAACATGAAGTACCACATGAAATGACCATAGAAGAAATTCAAGAGGTCATCTAACAATTTAGATAAGCTGCTGAAAATTGTAAAGAAGCTGGATTTGATGGAGTTGAATTACATGGAGCTCATGGATATATCATTGATTAGTTTCTTAGAGATAGTTCAAATCAAAGAAAAGATGAATATGGAGGAAGTGTTGAGAATAGAAGTAAATTATGTTTATAGGTGATTGATGAATTCATTAGTGTTTTTGGAAGAGGAAGGGTTGGTATTAAGATATCTCCAGTAGGTAGATTGAATGATTAATGTGATTCTGATCCTCTTAAGCTCTATACTTATTTAGTTAAAGAACTTGAGAAAAAGAAAATTGCTTTTATTGAAGTCAAAGATGATAATGATCCTGCCAATTTATTTGATTTTGGTTATCCATCAAGTAAAGAATAGATTCCTGATCTTTTTGATGTCTTCAGACCATTATTTAGTGGTATATTATTAGCCAATAATCAATATACACCAACAACAGCTATTGAGGGTATTGAAAAGGGAAAATTTGATGCAGTGACATTTGGTAGATTATTTATTTCAAATCCTGATCTTGTGGAGAGAGTTAGAAATGGATATGAGTTAAATACAAATTGGGATGTAGATACCTTTTATACTAAAGGAATTAAAGGTTATTTAGATTATCCATTATATTCATAATAATAATAGAAATGATAAATATAATACATGTTATTGTTAAATGAAAATCAAAAATACATTTATAATAAGCTCACATTTCTCTTGAAAGTTTTTTATAATCATATGCATAAACAATAAATGAAGTTTTTAAAAAGGAATAAAGAAGTTTAGTATCTATAGAGCGAAAAATCCATTGATAGCCTTATTCTTTCATTAATTAATTATAAATTTATGCATAAGATTTACACTCTATACTAGTTAATCTTTAAATGGCTAGGATTTTAAATGGATTTGAGATTACTTCCGCTGTTAAAAAAGTAGAATATAAATAAAATAGGCAATATTCACTTTTTTTATTTTCCTCTTGATTATTATATGTTTAGTAATTTTACAATGCTGGAAATGCTCCTAAACTTCCAGACAAACTTCCTAGCAAAAAAGACCAAAATCCATGATAGAAAACAGATGCACCATTTTATTTGACTTTATAAAATAAAAGCTCTTTTCCATCAGAATGTCCATAAACTTATTAAAAGTAATATAAAGAATTGAATGGAAGAAAAGTGTATTGTATTGTAATTCCCATCATAAATGATAACAATAAGTTTATTGGATTTACATTATTCTTTGTAATGTTTGACCATGAATTCAAAGCTTCTAGAAGCACTACAAATTCAGCACTTTTACTAATATATCTATAAAAGAACCCTTTGAAAATCATACTAAATTACCACTATAAAATCGTCTGAATCCTCCTTCTTTATATATCAATTTTAAGGAATCTTATAAAAGTGTTCCATGCTTTTATTAAAATCTAATGAGAGTTTTGATTGGATAACATATGAACATGGAGATGAATTTATGCTATTTAAGAAAGTTATCTCTTAAGTTTATATCAGTCATAAATAAATTTATATTTAAATTTTACAACATAAATAAATTAGAAATAATAAAAAAGCTATCATTTGATCTATGAACATTAACGATATAGAGAATCAAATAATAATGAAAGAACGATAATAAATGTAATTAGAAGAAATAAGATCTATTTTGGATTAAAAATTGAAACCTGAAAGACCTTTGATAATTCAATAGATTGATAAAGATCAAATATTTACTAATCCTACAGATAATACTTATTTGTAATATTTGAGAAAACCATAGAAGATTTAAAATAATTAGGATCTATGTATATGCAAAGGATAGTTGAGGATATATGAAAATGGATAATAGATGGAAATGTATGAATTGAAGAATCTTACTTTTGTTTAGTAATTAAAGAAGAATAGATTACATTTAGTATTTTAAGGTTCTTAGAGTACTTATATATAATTTGAAACATAAAGAAAACAATTAAAATTCTTTGAATCTATAAACTTTGCAATAGAGAATAAATTATTTAAATGAAATATACTATCATAATAAAAATAATTAATTAATTTATAAAATGTCTTTAGGTTTTATATAATTAGGATAATGTGGTAACTAGATTGGACATGCATTATTTGATTTTATGATTTAAGAGTAATAACTTATTGGATTTTAGAACTTAAATGTCTAGTCCAGGTGCTTAGGCTCTTTTAAATGAAATATTCTTTTTTGAGCGGAAAAATAAATAGATTGCAAAATCATTGTTGATTGATATGGAGCCAAAAGTAGTTGATAGATGTCTCAAAGCTGAATATTATGATAAGGGTATAAGAGAATATTCATTCAGCATTTAGTTTGACAAAATAAGAAGGATCAGGAAATAATTGGGCATATGGATTCAATAATCATGGACCTGCAAATAAGAATGCAATTTTATAGATAATGGATACATTATTAGAAGAGTGTGGATATTTGGAATCTTTATTTTTCATATCTTCATTAGCAGGTGGAACTGGTTCTGGTTTAGGATCTTATATTTTAGAATTGATGGCTGATAGATATCCTGAAATAGAATTATTTAATATATGTGTAATGCCTCATTTAACAGGAGAAGTGATATTATAATCTTTAAATACAGTATTGACAATAGGATCAATATATTAACATAGTGAAGGAATAATTTTATTATAAAATGATGAAGCTTAAGCATTATGCAATAATCTATTAAATTTGAAGAGTCCAAGTTTGAATGATATCAATTAAGTGATGTCTACAAATTTAGCTAGTTTCTTTTGGCCTTGTTTAACAAATTAAGTTTATAGTACATTTAATAATAATCTACAATATGTTTAAGAGTTATTAAATATAACTAATAATCAATATAAATTACTTTAGTTAAATTAGATTCCATAATTACCATAATAATCTAAAGCTTTTCAAAATGATACTTGGTCTGCTTTAGAAAAAAGAATTTAATAGATGGTTATGACTGGAACAAAAGAATATAATATAAATTGGCATAAAAAGGGATAATAACCATTTAAATAATTGATGATTGCAAGAGGAAATGATGTTAAAAAACATTAATTTAATTGGAATACAGTATAGGATGAACATTAATTTAATAAGAATGAGAAATCAATAACAGTTCTGCATAATTCAAGCAATATAGTTGAATCATTAAATATGATATCAGATAGAGCAAATTAAATGATTTAAGAGAGAGCATATATATATCAATATGAGAAATTTGGAGTTAAAATTTAACATTTTTAGGAGAGTATGGGAATTGTGGAAGGTATAATAAATGATTATGAATAATTAATATAATGATGTATAAATATATAAACAAATATATACAGGGAAAAGATTTAGATTTTAATCAGCTACTACTTGAGCTGATAGTAAATGTTACCATTCTTCCTTATTTTTAATTACTTAGATTTCTAAACTTATTAGTCATAATATTAGTTTGGGATGTCAAGTTTTCAATTCCCATTCTTCTTCTTCCTTTAAGGAAAATATTTTATTCTTCTTATTCTGGTTCTTTTTTAAAAATCATATTCTTAAGTTTGTATATAAATTTTTTGATGATGGCATATTCATTAATTAAGAAATTTATATGTTATTTGACATCTATAAATAATTGGAATAATATTAGACATGATGTTAAAGCAATTACACACCATCCAATTATAAGTTGTTAATCTTCATCAAGTGATTTTGATTATTCATTAATAGCAAATCCTAAGATAAGCATTTCAGCTAACCAAATTAAAATTTCAGAACCTACTTATTTGAATAATTCATCTTTGTCTTCAAGTGGTTATATTTTTATAAGATATAGAGCCATTACAATATTAAGAAGAGATACTAATCCAACTTATAAACAAGGTGATGAATAGAACATTACAAGACATAGCATAAATAACATTTTTTTTATTAAGAGTACTATATTAAAATAATAAGTAAATGGATTTTTATCTAATTTAATTCCTTCATAAATAGCTCCAAAATTATCTAAATTAATTTTCTATTTAAATACAAAAGATGGTTTGGACATAAAATTAATAGCCATAGAAATAAATATAAGTTCTATTACAAATGCTATTAAACAAAAAATAAAACTAGTGAATAAGATTGAATTATTAAGTTGGAAATCCTTTAACTATAGAAATAAGGCAAGATTATAATCAAAAGCTACAGCCATAAAAGTTCTAATCACACCTGATGTAAAGGCTTTATTGAAACGCATCAATAGTATTTGTAGATTTCTTGTTATTCTGTAAATGAAAAAAGTACAAATACTTTATTCTTAAGAATTAAGTGGTACATATACAAAGGAATGTGAAAATTTAGTTAATGTTGATAACAATGCTGTACATACAATATAAGCAATAAGAGTAGTCATAAATACAGTAAAGACTGGAATGATATTGACATAGAATACAGTTGAATAACCTTCATCTCTGAATTTAGGATCTGCATCAGGAGTATTCACATATTCACTAATAAATGTCTCTAAATTTAAGTAATTTTTAATAAAGTCAAATTGAGCAAATCCAAAGATGGTGAAATAATTATTTAAATTATATGGATATTCAACATTAAAGAATTGAAGGTAAGAGACTAATTGTAAGGCATCCAAAAGATTCCAAAATATATTCAATCCACCAAATAAAAATGCTATTATTGCAAATCCAAATAGTAAATAGAGTATATATTTACTCAGTTTCATCAATCCATCAGTAGCCTCTTCTGTAGAAATAGAAGGTTATTGATATTCCTTTAATTTGATCATATAATTCTTTTCTCCAAATGTATTACCATCTTAATTCAATACAGCATTCTAATAAATAATCTAGCAAACTAATTCTGGATCAGGTACAGACTATTTGAAAATTAAGGTCAATTCTAAAAATAAGTAAGTGAATTTATCAGAATATTGAGTTAAATCAATAAAAGTAAGATCATAATCATCACAATTGTTTATTTTAAATGTAAAAATAGAATTGATACTTCCACTAATTGAAACTAGAGAATCTGTTTTAATTCTTACAATTCTTTATTTATCAAATTTCTTATCTGATTTATTGATTTCAAATATAATACTAGGATAAATAGCTTTTTAACATTGAGACCCACAATTAAAACCAGATTCAATTTTACACATTTAATCACATCCATCACCAATAACTAAATTACCATCATCACATTCTTCCTAATCAACTTTAATTCCATCTCCACAAATAGGAACACATTAAGAATCACTTATTTAATATCCTAAATTTTAATCACACATTAGACATCCAGATTAATCTTCTTTATAGATTATACAATCAGTACAATTGTCAGCTCTTTCAATACAAGTTTTACAACTTGAATTGCAGGGTAAACAAATGAATTCATTAGTTAAATAAAATCCATCTATACAACCAGTACATTATCCTGCTAAACATCCAGTGCAGGTATAATCAAAACAAAATGAATTACCATTTAAACATTTATAACAAGTATCTCTATCTATATTATTACCATCATCACAATCTTCATTCCATTATATTATACCATCACCACATTTTGAATAACAATAATGATTAATTGGAGGATTCAAATAATCAGCACAATTAGAACATTCTTAATTATTTGATTCATAGTATCCTCTTCTACATTTACATTCAAATAACAAAACATTACTATTTTTATATTTAGGTTCTCTTGTATCAGAACATCTTGTACATGATTCAAAATTATTATTCTATTTACACTCTAAACAACTTGAATGACATTCTAATTATTAAAATAAAATACATACTTCCACATGTATTATCAGGACTTTAATCAAAATATCCAGATTAACAAGTGCATGTAATATTATCAATACTTAATATTCTATATTAATCTTCATTACAAGTTAAACAAGTAGTTTCATTTAAACAAGTTTTACATTTTTAAGGACATTCTAAAGTTATGAAATGAATTTATACTTTTACAAATCAAATCTCCACTATCATAAAATCCATCCATACAAATACATGTATCAATATTTAATCTTCTATTCTGACTAGAATAACATGAATTACATTAATCTTTTGTGAAATTACAATTTTCACATAAATCATTACATTTACTACAAACTAAATCATTGTCTTCTTAAAAATATCCATTTGAACAACGACATTATTCTTTATCTAAAATTCTATTCTATCCAGGATGACATGCAGTACATGTTCTTGCTTATTAATAGCATTTTAAACAAGTTGGTAAACATAAATAACAGCTGAAACTCTCCATATAATAACCATCCAAACAACTACATTAATTTACATTTAACCATAAATTTTTAGATTCATCACATGATAAACAATTCTTTGGATGATATTATTTCCAAATTCCATAACTTTCTTATGTATTTATACAAGTTTTACAATTATGAAAACAATTTGTTTATTCACAATAATTTATTCTTTCTTTTACTTAGCTACAAAAACAAGTATTAAATCTTAATTCATAACCTACTTTACATGCTTAACATAAGTTCATATTAGTACATAATGTACATCCTTAAATACATTATAAACATTCATTTCCATTTTTATAATAACCATCCTTACATCCATTAATATCTTTACTAATTGTATTAATTTCATTTATACAATTCCCATGATCATCACATTTTAAACAATTATCTTAACAAGTAGATACAATTATTCTAAAATCATAGATACCACAATATGCTTCAATATCAATTCCTTGTATACATTATAAATGAAGTTTAAGTTCTTTAGTAGATTCAAAAGATTTCACATATGAAACACTTTAAGTTACTTCAACATAAGATTAACCCACTTAATTTCCTACTGAAATGCTACTTCCAAATATACTATATTGTGGTAATTCATTATTGATGCTAGTACGAAATTAAATTTAGTTATTAGTTGAATCAATAAAAACCAAATTGAATTATACTTTTACTTTATAAATTTATTTGTCATGATTTATTTTAAAGTTAATTTATTAATTCTACCATTTACCAAATCCACCTAAAATAATTCGATTCATAAAAAATGATTAAGTTATATTTTATAATGGTTCAAAGATATCTTAACGATAATAATTCATATCATGATACATATTAACTAGATATTTTTCATCTGCTGAATTAAGTGATAGATCTTCACATGAGTTTCCATTAGTTATAGTATAATTTGGACATTAAGATACACAATTACCATTAAATAATTTCAAACTTCCAGAACAAGATAAACAAACATTAAGTTGAGATTGATTACATGTATAACAATTATTTGAACATTAAAAAGTATTTGAAGTTATTTAATATTAATTAATTTAGAAATTTCTAATACCCCATGTTCTTTATGGAGAATTTAATTAAAATTTAGTTTTAAACATTATTTCTGTTACTAATTCAGTTAATTCTATTTAAATAGTTATTTCATATGATACACACTTTGTATAGTTTGGTATAAAACAAGATTATGCTTAACCTACAGTTGTAGATTAAGTAATTGGAGATGTCAATGAAATTTAATTGAATTCCTCCATATAAACAACAATATATTAATTAAAAAGTATTTAAATAGTTTCAGGGAATAACTTTGACATTTTACCAGTAATATAAAGGTGTAATTTAATTGTATATTTAAAATTAGGCTGTAAATAAACGTCATCATAAAAAATTGAATCTGTATTAGTAAACATACCTGCAATAGTCTTTGATCCAATTAAATTTATCATCTATTAATTTATACTATAATATTTATCAGCAACAAATTTAAATTTATAAGTATTAAATATATCTTCTTCAAGATCAGAGTATATTGGACTAACAATAGATAATTAACATATTCTATTCTCATCTGATGTATAATTTATAGGACATTCATCTACACATGTTAAATCAGGATTAAAGTATGAATATTGTAAATTTGGATGACATACACATTAATTTCTGATCAATTGATATCCTATTTTACATAATACACATTCATTTTAATCACATTCTTCACATCTATCATCACAAAAATATATTTATAAAATGAAATTGCTGATTCCATATTCACTGGTCGTTCCTGTTAATGCTCTATCATGAACTATTTCAATATTTAAATTTGGATCATTAAATGCTATTTCCTAATCTATACGTGAAAATTATTCAGCGTATGATTTTCCAAATGGCCTAGAAACACAAAATCTTAGAGGGTAATCTTTAATTTCAAATGGCAATGGTTTTTCATAATGAACCAATAGACTGTTAGCATAAACTGTAATAGATTCAGCTGCATTCCATATATTTATATAGTAGATATCAAAACTTATTCTAATTTTGCTGAATGCTCGTGAAGTTGGCATTAAAATATTTCTATTCAAAAGTGTATCCCCTTATAGAAGTTTAGAGTTAAGAGTTGGCTATAGATCACAGACTTAAAGTAAATTTGAACCTGGTGAATTGTTAGAGTTTTTCCAAAGGGAGAAGGTTGAACTATCTATTAATTCTGATTTAAATAGTTCCCAACCTTAATAGATATTCAATATCTTACCACATTGCACTATCTACATAAGCATTCTCAAGACAAGCAATTACATCCATTTCATTATGTTATTTATATAAATATTTCCATATTACATAAATATACAGATATACCATAATATATTTGATTAATTCTGTTATGAATATAATAATTTATGTCATCATCATTTCATTCTAATAAATTGTTCTCAAAGAAATCACCCAAACTCCCAGAAATTCTTTACTAAAATTATATTTAAAATTTTTATATTTTATATACTTACTTTGCCTAAACCCTAAAATTGTTAGATCTATAACAAGTATATTTCATATTCAATTCTTATATCAACTGATTTCAACAAAATCATTATAAAAGAAAAGTTTGATCTTAAATATTAAGTGAAATAATACACACGAATAAATTTAAATTCATTCATCAGAATTAATTAAAGAAAATCTTTTTAAAGCATACTTCTAACATTAGTGTTTACTCTTCTAAAAAATAGCAATAGATATTGTTTATATATATAAATATAATTTTATATTTATTTACAAGATTTTGCTTAAAATAAAATTTCTATATTTCTGTTTGTAATCCTTAATTAATCTAAGTTTTGAACTTGATAGAAAATATTCATATTGTAATTTAACGTATTCTTTTAACTATATTCAATTTTTGTTTATAACATTTAATGATCTATTTTTAGACTATCCTAATCTAAAATTTCTTTTTTAAAAAACTATTCACCAAATATTATTTTAGAAATAAAAAGTTTTAAAAAAGAATTAATATAAGTAAAATTATTTGAATTGATATTTAAGAGATATATTGTAATATAAAGTGATAAGCATAATGTATAATAACAATAATTACTTAATATACATAATTAGAAACAAAAAAAATCTTATTATAATTTCTTTTGATTTTTTATAATTTTATATATTTTAATTATTTATTAAAAATTTATCATTATCATTCACATATACATCTTGATCCTTGTAAATGAAGTTAACAACCTTTTTTACAAATTTGACATTGATATTAAGAATCACATTCAGAACAATCTTTTACTTCACATCTTTGACATAATTTATCATCACTTTCAAAATAACCAGATTTACATTATTTTGTTTTATAATCAAATTCATATGAATTTCTTGTATATTCTAAACATTCAGATTTACTTGGTCCTGTGCATACTTTACAATATGGTGTACATTTATGTATAATTAAATAATAATCTTACAGAAAACAATAACCATTTGTATTACATCCAATAGTTATCATAATATCATTATTTGTATGTTTAAAATACTTACTATATTCAACAATAGAATCAGGTTTATTAGCATCACCATCAATCTAAATCAAATCTTTAGGATTAATGTAATGATATTCTCCACCATCTAATTAGTAAAAGAAACCTGTCTATTCATCCTTATCTGATAAATCAATGTAGCTAACTGTAAATGTATAAGTCAATGCATAATGAGGTTCAAGAATAAGTATCTTAGTATATTCTTATCTTCTCCATTTACCTCCAAAAAGCAAATTAGTTTTATTGAATCTATATTAAAATAAACTTTATTGATCAGTTAAAGATATTTCTCCAGCCCAATTATATTATGTAATATCAACATCATTAACTATGAGTTTGCTATTAGATTGTTTATTTAAGAATGTTTTGCAATAGAAACCTTCTTAAACAGTTGTCTCTGGACATTAATTAAGACATTGATTTTCAAATAAATAATATCCATCTTTACATTATTTACATTAATCTTATTCAATATATTTTTAATCACATATTTTACAATTTTCTTAAAAACATATTGGTTCATCTATTAATAATTGAGTTACTTTTATATTTTGAATGATTATTTCAGAATCTTTTGGTTTATTTGAATCTCCTAAATCTTCAAATCGATTATATCTTGGCTTATGATATTTAGAATTGATAGGTCTAAAAGTAATATTTACATTCAATAATGAGGAATTCACATCAATTAATGGAGTTTATAATTGAATAAGTGTACAATTACTAGAATATTGACATGATGTTTCTGATATATTGAATATTGAGATATATAGATTTTAATAATAATTTGATATCGATCCTGAATAAACATCATTAATAATTATTTCAAATTATTAAAAAGCCTAAAAAAGTATTTGATATAGAATACTTAGAAATTAGATAAAATTAAATCTATATCTAATCTGATTTAAGAAGATTTCTTTAATTGTATTTATTATTCAAAATTCTTATTTAATTTTAGATTTGTATTTTATCCAAAAGTCTATGTATCCAAAAATTCTAATATAATCAACAAAATAAAATACCAACTTTTTTACAACTACTAAATCTATCTGCAGAATATCCTTCAGGACATTATTTTAAACATTAATTTTTAAATTTGAAATTTGTACAATAACACTTACCTTAACTTGGTTAAAGTGTAAAATTATTTTGGCAATCTAAACAAACAATACGATAATCATCATATTAACAATTCTAACAATTTTAAGGACATACCATTTAAAAAACATGAATTTATTTAATTCCTACATACCTTTTTTATTATTATGATTTGTTATCCAAAAGTTAAATATTTATAGAAATTTCTGTATAATTTTTTCCTTCCAATTCATAATTAAATGATAACATCTTATAATCAGAAGTATTAAAACATTCATTGATCATTAAAAATCCATATCCCAATTCCAAATTTTAATAGTTCTCGATTGTTTTATTTTAAATTTATATTGAAAAATATGAATCTATAGGAACTATAAATTCTACTAAAATTTTAGTCTTTGCAAAAGGATTCAAGTCTTTAAGTGAAATGACTTTTAATAGACTTTCTTATTAAGCTATGATTGGAATATTGTAAGCTTAACAATTTAATTGAATATAATTATCCTATGTATTTTGTGTAAAAGATTTATCATAGCCTTCATAATGAGTAATAGTCCATTAAGCTATAGAAGCATTCATCATTAAAATAGTGATGATGTATTTCAAGTAAAACATTTACGAAATAAATTTTATAAAAACAAATAAACAATAATTAAATCAAGAAGGCATAATCAAAGATTTGGTTTACAAAAAAACCTTCCCTCTTTTGTATCTTAACATTTGAGACATTTATTTATAGACTAACATATTTAACAACCTTATGTACAGATTTGACAACCATAATCACTCAAATAATATCCATCTTAACATTGATAATTCTTATAATCGAATTTTTGAATATTAGATTAATAAATTTTACAATCCTATTAAAATGGACCTGTACAACTTTAACAAAGTGGAGAACACTAAAAAAAATATCTAAAAATATTATTACTTTCATAATCATAAAATAGTAATTAGAAATCACACATCTACCATTACTCGAGATTTTACATCCTAAATTTAGATTTAGTATGTTTTTATTATGATTGAGTGTATGATCAATAAAACTTGTATTTTTATAAACATTATAAGTTCTTCCATCTATTGAATAAATAAAACTATCCTAATCCTAACTTGAATTTTCTATTGATATATTAAACATAATTCTAATTGCATAATGTCTACCTAAATTCATTTACTTTGAAAATGTAGTTCTTCTCCATTAATCTAATAACCCTCCTCCTATAAATGTTGTTTCATTCTCATATCGAAAACTAATTTTTTCTTATAAATCAAAACTAATTTGACCAAATATTTATTCTAAATCTTGGAATGGTGATATTAATTTCACCAATATATCTAAATCTATTGTATATTTATTATTCTTACCTGCCTAATTTTCATTCAAATTAATACAACTATTATTATTTAATACAGTATATAAAGGACATTTCTTAATGCATTTATTCTAGTATACATAAAATCCTTCAACACATCTTTAACATTAATTTTGATATGAACATAAATTACAATTCTATATTTCACAATCATAAGATCTTTATTCCATTTTATAAATCTTAAGACTTTCTATTTCCCAATACCCACCTTAATCTATCTTCTTTGAATAACTATTAATATTAATTTAATGTTATTTAAGAAAATCTATCTCAAACATCCCTTTTACTTATAAACACTCTAATTCTAATTTAGACTTACACTATTTGTATGATTATAAATTCCAATAAATATATAAAAAAGGATATAAAACTCTAGACTAATTCTGCATTAAATCTATTTTTATTAATTGATCATTATTTCTCTCTTTTTTACTATAACAATTAAAAACAATTTCTAATTATCCATTAAAATCATTATCAAAATTTAAATTGACTTATTTCTCTTCTCCAAATTTCTACATAGTTTAAAGTCCCTCTTACAAAAAAGATTTTATTTATTCAATCTCTTTTATCTCTAAATCTTAAATAAATATATATTACTTGCTTATACACATTAATTATTTTCTGCTATAGTTCCTTCAGGGCATTCTTCTAAACATTAGTGTTAATATCTCAATTTATCACATCTTTCAAATAACTCAAGATCACATTAACCTGATAGACAATATTTACAATCCTTTGGACATTCTTCAATAAATATATTAAAGTTCCTTATTTCTACTTTGGTTTATTTGTCAAATTTAATCTAAATCATTACATTAGGAGCTTAATGTTAAAATTACATATGAAATTCATTGAACTCTCTTTATAATTAAATTACACTTCTTCTAACTCCATTCACTACTATCAATATTTCACTTTGACTTTTATTAGTTTTAGCATCAAACATAATGTGTAATTATCTATATTCTTATAAACCTTGATAAGAGATAGAAAAGCTTCCTTCAGCAATTATTAAATAATCATCTTAGATGATAATATTTTCATTATCGATTGATTCTATTATTCTTGATGTTAAAATTGGGTTCCAACTTTAAGAAACTTTAATCAAGAAGAATAGGAATATCAATTGCATTTTGGAAATATTATTTATTCAAACAAAATATCTTGTTTTATAACTGAGACTTATATATATATTTTATATTTTAACTGTTGATTAAACTATATCATTTTATAATAATATCTAGATGCTTATAAAAATATATAACAATTAATATATATATATAGATATGAATAAAAATTTAGTAATTAAATATTAGTATCTTTATAATATAATCATTAAAAATATTGAAATAATTTTTTATCATATTATAATGAGGATTAGACAGATAAGTTTGTTAGTTAAACTTTTTTTGAAATAGAAAATATAAAAATAAAAGAAAAGTTCAAAAATAATAGGCATTGAGAACAAAAGTGAGCTCATGATCTCTAATAGGCTTCACTAAATAATCAATCATTCCAATTTTTAAACAGTTCTCTTTTTCATAATTGTCAATGTAACCAGAACATGCAACAATATTTTGATGAGGATTTAATTGTAATACTTATTTAGCAGCATTCAAACCATTTAAAATTGGCATCTCGAGATCCATAAAAATGATTTTATATCCTGTACATAAAGTAGAACATTTCTTGTTCTTAACTTTTTAGATACATTCATTTCCATTAGAAGCAGAATCTATATCAGTTATATTTCTAATAATATTGAATAAGAATAAAATACTTTTTATTTAATATTTTTGTAAAAGTAAAAATATTGAAGACTTCATCATCAACTAGTAACATATGTTTACATCTTAAAGGAGGTGGTTCTAAATCAATATAAATTTTATCTTCAGCAACATGGAATGCTTATCCTTCATCAACTTCTTAAAATGATGCAGAGATCTCTTTAATTCTAAAACTTGATACTTTCTTTAATCTATTGGTTTAAATATGTAAATCGAAATAAAAATGAGTACCTTGATTCTATTTAGAATCTATTTATAAACCTCCACAACCTATAGATATAGCTATTTAATTGCTAATTACTAAACCAAGTCCTACACCTTATTCATTACGTTTTGAACTTTCTTCTGAATTGACCTTTGAAAATGATTTAAATAACTTTTTTTAATCTTCTTCAGATATTCCAATACCATCATCTTGTACCCCAATTCTTAGAGAAGTAGAATCAATAGAAGTAACTAAGATGATAATTTTACTGGATGCAAATTTAAAACTATTACTAACCAAATTAACTAAGATTTATTTAATTCTATTTCTATCTGAAATAATAACAGAAGAGACAGTATTATCAAATGATAAGGATAAATTAATATTTGTTATTTTTGCTTTTAATTCAAATAGTTTTAAAACTTCTTTTATTAATTATATTAAATTAAATTTAGATCTTTAAATAGCAAATTTACCATTTTTAATTTATGCTAAATCTAATAAATCATTAGATAGATTAAGAATATAATTTGAATTATCTAAAGCAGCTTATAAAATTTCATTCATATCATTTGATAATTAATTAGAATGAAGTGCATCTTCAATCATTTAAATTATACAATTAAGAGGTGATCTATATTCATGACTAACATATGATAGCATTTTAGATTTCTACATATCATATTCTTTTAAATATCTAATTTTTTATTTATGTGTAATATCTCTAATCAACATGAAATACAAATTAACATTTCTTTTAATAAGTGTTAATTCTAATAACTTTTCTACTTATTTTTCACTTTAAGACATTGTTACATTATTAATAGGGAATAAGGCATGAATAATAAAAGATTCATTAAATTAATCAGATTGAAATTTATCAAAAATATCTTTAAGATGAGAGACTTAATATTTATCCGAATGTGTTTAATACATATATAATTAAGGTGATTGATTAATTTAATCACTTTTTAAAAATGCCATACTTTTATTACATAATTATTTTGAATGTTTCAAATGAAGTTCATATTCATCATAATTTGGATGATAAATATAATTTAAATTACTAAAAGAATTTAAAATATCTATTATTTCTTTCTATGAATTCACAGATAATAATGCTCTTGAAGCAATATTAGAATATATTATGTCCATATCCTAATTATTTTATTTCAATCTTAATCCAATTAAACCTTCATGAGAATATTACATCTTTACATCTAAAATATTTGAATTTAAGAATTAATCAATAAGAGATTATTCTGGAATCAATTAAAAATGTGGAGATTAATTACTTTTTGGTGATATCTTCTCAGATTCAGCCAATGATAATACTCTCTCCTTTCTTTTTATTACTTAAGTACAATTTATATTATATTATGATTCATTTGCTTTAGTTTATATTATAGTAGGCTTTCTTATACAAATTGTGTAATTAATTGCAAATGAAAATAACAAGCATATAATTCCTTAACAGTAAGATAAGTTAATTTCAGAAGTTTGAGATATGTAAAGAATTTAAAAAAAAGTAGACTATAGCAATAATAGGAACCAAATTAGTCGATATCTTAGTTGAATTTATTACTCTTAAAATCTCTTAAAATCTTGGAATAATTAAGTTGTTAAAAAATGAGCTATTATCACCTAGGCTTCACTGTTATATTATATATTCTTCTAATTAGTTATGACTTACCAAAAAAGACTAAACTGAATTATTATAATATTTCCTATATATTAGATTCTCTGATTTTTGGTTTAAATATATAACAAGATCAAACCTAGAATAGATTGTAGAATCAAATAAGCCAAATTGCTATTTTCTGAACTCAATGAATAGTAATAAATAGAAAATCCTAGTCCGTTGATCTAAAATAGCATCACTACAAATCTTTAAATAACTTTCATTTATCAAATAATAAATATTATCAATAGTTCTTATAAATAGCTTGTATTATTAAAAATAAATCAAAAATGTCAGAGTCTTTCAAACAATTAAAAATACATCATGTCTTTATAAGAAGTATACATAATAATACTATTTTAAGAATTTAATCTTTCTGATAATCATCATTTTATATTATAAATTATTAAAATAGTATACTAAATGATAATAATAATTAAGAAATTCATAGAAAAGAATCAATATTCATATGAATTAATCAAAACTTAAAATATTTCTCAAAATCTCTTCCTGTTTATGGACAAATTGTATTACTTTTTATACAAGTATGATGTGCTAAC